AGATGACCCCACATACAGCACCGTGGTGCTGACTGTAGGAGACCCTGACTCACTGCAAGCAGCAGTTCTAACCACTGCAGTCTAGACAATACAAAGGCTTATGTTGGAAATCATTTCTGTTCTCCCTCAATCCCTAACAGAATTATATGCACATTTAATGGCAGGAAACACAGTGGAACCACAGTCAGTAATGACGTTGGTGGAAGATCACATATCTCTTCTCCAAGTGGAGCAGTACTTTCCATTGCAGGAGCTTAGGAAGCAGCTCCCACAGAAACCCCTTGTTCCTCAAATTTCAGCAATTGAAGGCACACGCAGGCTTTGCTTGCCTTTGTTGTGACTGTTTAAAAAAGAATTTGCTTATCTCCAGCTCCAGGTTTGAGCAAATTCTGCATGGCTCCAGCAGCCCAATTTTTGGCAGCCAGCTGTGAGGCATTGAGTTGCGCAGAGATACTGCTTTGTGCGCCTGTCTTGCTGTGAATCCAAATAGCTGTTTTCTCAGGCTTGTCCATTCAGAGTGCTATCATGTCCCAAGCCCTCTCATTAAATTAATTGCCTGAGTTTCTTTATTCTACATAGATGGATAAGAGAGGCTCCTTGCCTGTGAGCTTGTGTGAACAACCTCATGTGAACTGCTCCAGCCATCTGACAACAGTGTGTAGAAAAGATTAATACCACTTCCCAACCCAAACACAAAACACAGAAAGCCTTTGTAGCCATGACACAATTTGCAATCATTTTTTCCAAGGATCCTGCTATTGTTTCTATGCCAATGTATTACATATCAGTCAGGCTGTATTTAAAAAGTAAAAATCAAGTAACTGGCAGATGGATGGTTATGAACACTTCTTCTTTGCAGGTAGGAGCTGTAACAAAATCCAGGCACAGAACGCTTCTTAGCTGTGTACAAAAGCACCGCATGTGACCTATCCTCTGATGGCAAAACTTTTACCCTGGGAGTGATGACAGCACAATGGAACCAAAATGCACATTAAAAGCAAAAAAGTTTTGTCTTCCTGGCAAAACCCACAATGACTGTGCAGCCTAGAGTGCATTCCCATTTAGAAACTAGCAAGGACTGTGGAAACTCTTTTTCCTGCCCTGGAGAGATGTCCCTTTTTCTCCTTAGGTGCTCTGTTTCTTGGTGAGATATAGAAAAGGGTCAGTTGTCACCTCTCTTCCAGAACTGTAGGTGGCTGGGAAGAAGGCAGGGGTCAGTCTATGAGGAAAGGGAGGTGGCCCACAGCTGAATTGTGGCAAGGAGTGTGGCAACACACAAGGCAGCAATCAGATCCTGCAGGGCCTGAAGGAGGAAGGAGGGGCCCTCACACACCTGAAGCCAAGCACAGATTTCATGCTCCTCATTGTCTGTAATGAAGGTGATGGCCAGGTCAGGGCTGCTTCATGCTGATGTCCCTCTGTCCCTGTCTAATCCACAGCTGTGTGTGTGACTGGCCTGCACAGCCCAGCCCCACAGGCACTGGGGAGGGGTCTGCAAGAAGGTGTGCACCTCACACTGAAGTAGCGGCTCTCTTGTTTGAACTACAGCATCGTGAAAAGTACACGTCACTGATGAAACTAAGCAATACATAGAGGGTTTTCATTCACACAGACAAGATCTGTCATGGCAGCAGAAAGAGCAGCTTTCCTGGGCTTCAGACACCTGATCTATGGAAGTCCAGAGGCAGTGTAATGATCCACGCCAAAAGGAGCAGCAGCCCATTCCAACATTGCCTTATTCCAGACCTGATACATAACCTTGTCACATACCTGAACACTTGCATATGAGCTGTCATGGAAGAGGATCAAAGAGAAAGTCCACACCCATGGAAATGCCACGACAGATCCTTTACCTCCCTTCAGATGCAGGATCTTCATCTGAAGAAGTTTCTTTATGCACAGGTGTTATGGAAACACAACAGTTCCCATACACACCACAGGGGTGCTGCCACAGCTTTGGCCAGCCAGCCAAAGTTAGCTTGGAGCACAGGAAACAAGATGAGCCAACATGTGCTTTTAAGGTACATCTTCAATCCAAATATGTACTGCCTTGTTACAGGAGGCTGGCCCCTCACTTAGCACCTGCTGAACCTGCTACTGTGCCTCCTGCTATTGCTTCCAATGCTAATTAAAGCTAGCTTGTGTTTGCCTGTACGCACAGTCATTTCACTGCGCAGGCAAGCCCTGCGGTCCCAAGCTTGCCTGAAGTCTGAGGGAGGTCCCCTATCTCAGCTGGTGTGACCATTTCAGGGCAAGCAGCATTTTGTTCTCATGGAGAGGAACACAGCTCAAAGAGCCAGCCAATTCCGTGCAGCCACAGATGCTAGGTATGTTTTCAACAGAGCTCTGAGCAAAACACAGTCTGAGCAACTCCCAGAAGATGCACTACTGCAGTCTGAGAAAATAAACTTCCACAGATTTAGAAAAAGAACTTCAAATTTAACGTTCTGTACATGCATAGCTTTGCCATCTGAATGCACACTTCCTTTATTTTGTCACTTACCTTAAATTTTGACTGACTTATCCCAATTTTTATAATATCTTGGGCAATATCATTTGACCCAGAAAATTCATGAATTAGAATTTCTAGAGGAAAGTTGTGGAAAGTTAGAAACGTTAAAGAAACATGCAGACAAAGACTTTATTGAAGCTACTTAGCTGGAAAGAATTGCCAGAATGCATCTTAGCCTTAATGCCAACCAATTCCTCTAAATTAATTTTGAAACAATTCGTCATCCATCCTCACCTCCTCCCAATTTACAGCAGTCACTGTAAACACCACTAGGGCAGCGCAAGCAGATGATAGAACACTTCCTTTTAAGAAAGACGGCAGCGTAACTTCATACCTCTTTAAAACTTCACCATATTTGGTAAAGATTTGGTAAAGGTTTGCATTCTGTGAGTGCTATCGGAACAGCAGAGGTCATTTCTGTGCATCTTGAGGAGCAAAGAAAATCAAGTCATCACCCAAAGACATGCCACTACCTATACAGAGCAAGTAGCTTATAGTAAGCTAATCCCATCCCTTCATATTCTTGTACTTATTATTAAGCTCTACAGAAGCAACCAGGCAGGCATGAAGTTCAAGGCTACAGCAAGTTACAGCTGCAATTTATCTCATATCTGAATTTGTCTCTGAATACGAGCAAAACAGAGGTATTCCTTCAGCTGAAAGGATAAGGCCATAAAGCAACAACAGGAAACCTTCGTACGCTGACTGTACTAAACCTTGAGAGACTATGAGTTTGTTGTATTTATGCATGCACTAAGCAGAAGTTAAGAGCATTTAAATAGGCTCTTAGTGGTTGCCAGGTAGAGATGAGTTTTTCTCCTCATTATAGATAAATAAAAAAAGCATCAGATGATTACTTTTCAGTAACAAAGGGTGAACTTAAACATAAGCACTGAAACAAATTCTCTTAAAAAGAGCAAGAACAAAGGGATGCTGGGCAAGCTTCTTGTAATATGCAAGTTGTGCTTGTAAACGCAGACAGATCTCGCAGAATACCCAGGGCAAACCTCAGAGTTCAGCCAGTTGAACAAGATTTCCCAGACAGAAACATTAAATTCTGAAACACAAATGTTTACAAGACACGTATTTCAGCTGAAGAACAAGGTGCAGTACCATGAGAAGCTGGTGACTAACAAGTCACACGTCTGTACATGCAGGGCTTTAAGAATCCTCATTTTCTCTGTTCTTCTGGAAACAGCAGTTACCAGAGGCCTGTAATGGCAGAAAACTTTGCAAAGAAAAATTTCGGAGTATGAGTCTCAAAGAAAATAAGGACAGATTTCAAGACAGATAATGCTGTACACCGCTCCTGCTGTAAGAACACAGACCAGAACCCTAGCTGGTTTGTTAGCGCCACAGAAGTAGAGGCTGGGATTTGCTACTTGTTTCAGTAAGCAGATGAGGAGGCCGGTACATCAGGTCTAACTTTAATAACTACAGCTCTGAGAATAGAGAATCTATGTGCACACAACTTTTTTAATGCAATTTATTAAGTCAAGGCTCATCAGGTAAAATCAACCTTAAATTTTATGACAGAATGAAATGTGAGGAATAAAGTTTATGTTCAAGATCTAACACAGCGGACTCTAGAGAAGACTATCTAGCCAGGTTTTATACATTTGTTGTCAAGCTAAGAACTTTCTCAAGATGAAACATTTTTTAATGAGAAAGGAATTTGCAATTTGAGTGTCTGTGCTGAAGAAAACTTCCCAAAACCTCTTACTTGGAATAATGAAAGCTTTGTCTCATTCTGCTTTATATTAGAACTAAGTATGAAAATTCTGAAATTGATTTAGCTTCAGTCATTAGCTGAAGGCAACTCAGTGTCTCCTAGAACAGTGCTTGCTCAGCAGCAGTATGGCACTGCACACCCCAAACTGAACTATTAATCCAAAATTTACAGTGGGAAAACAAGCAGTTGACGCAACGGAAAAGTCATCATGAGATTCTCTTTACTCTGTAGCATTTTCAGAGCCAATTCACTGAAAATGTTCAATCTGTTTTCTAGAGATTCAACTGTTTCTTCAGGTTGTACGATTGCAAATGAGTTTGGAGATAAAAACTAGTGAAGAATCTGATGAGTTGCTTGAGAGACAGGAAATACGTGAGGAAAATCAGTGTCAGTATTCCAGCTTTTCTAATCATGACAACATACAGTAGTTATTCTAATTCTTTGGAAGTGATGGCAAGTAAAATCTAGCTTTCTTCTTCTCATGCTCTCCAAAAGTATTCCTTTGCATAATAAATATTAGATTTACAACAGTTGCAAGCAAATTCACAAGGTAATGGATAAAAAGAAAAGCCGGCATTTTGTTGCACCAATATTTCTTACTGATTAACAACAATCATTATAAAGTAGAATAAGCTGGTAAAGCTGGACAGCCAGCATTAGTATTTTAAAAGAGGGAAATGAGAAAGGTGGAATAGACAGCTTCATTTTAAACATGAAAAGAATTATTCACTTAAAAATAAGGACAGTACAAAAACAACAGCCACAATTTCTTTATCCCAGGCCACATCTTCATAAACAGAAGGGACCAGTAAAGATGACCAGTATATAGGAACTATATGTCTGAAATTCATTCACGTCTATTTCAAACTGGAATTGGAAAGTTTACTTGGCTTTTGTTCACTTTCAAATTTGTTCCTTCCTTAGATCAGAAGGAGGTACCAAACCTGGCATACTTCAAGCCATCGCTTCCGTGCTACTATTGAAAAAAGACACATTTATAAAAATAAAGATAACAGAAACTACCTGTGCAGTTCACAGTCCTGATTCTGCCATTTATAACAGACAACGTATAGAAAAAACCTGTGGTCTATAAGACAAGACCATCCACATACAAGAGTTGAGGCTATGTTCAACTTACATGTCTGGGAACTAAGCTTCTCTTTATAACAAGATTAGCTAAGCAAGTCAGTCTGAGACAATTGAAGTTTACTATTTTTATCTGTTGCAAAGACCACATGGAAAAGTAAATAAAGACAATCACATTTTGTGACAGAAAAATTAAATATAAGAACCAATTAATAAAATAATTAAAACAAAACAAAAAACAACTGAACATATAGTAACATCAGCCCACTGACTGGGCAACAATTTATACAGCTAGACCAGTGAGAGTTTGCCATCATCCATCAGAAACAGAATGTGTAAAGACTTAAAAATGTATTTTTTATCATACAGAATATATTGCAGCAGATATCCATAAACTCCAGCTGCCCATCAGTATTACAGAGAATGTGAGATTATAGATGTAACAATTCAAGATACAAACATGTTTTTGAAGCAGAATTTCTAAGCCTTTGTAAATAGATGAACAAGCTTCCATTTTTGTGAGCAGCTTTGATGACAAAGTATCAGCATACAGAAGTATTTTCATTTACATTTCCTCAAGGCTTCTCTTGATAGCTTCTTCTAATTCTGCATCATCCTCTGTATGAATACAAAAAAAAGATTATAATTTCAAACGATGGTTGGTAACTAGTCAAACACAGCTGCAGTATTACTACTACAACAAGCAACAGTGTCAGCCTACAGTTTGTTTGAGACTGTAATGCAACTGTGTATTTATTGGTCACGTATCAAGATTAGCACCCACATATATGCACTAATAAAAGTAAAATATTACAATAAGGACAGACACACAAAACAAGCAGAGAGGTTTTAGTGTTTTCACTCCAGTTCCTTATCAATACATACTCTGATATCTAAATTGGAATTTAACACTACTGTTGTTAGGTGGACATAAACAGAGATAAAGCCATTAACAGTAAGAACAGTCCAGTTCAGGGCTGTAGCATTTTTGATGGTAGGAACAAGCCTGCATGGGACTCATCTCGTTTATTAACAACCTCTCATAAACACCCTTCATAATTCTCTAAATAGAAGCCCTGCTTCAGCTTTACCTTTAGGTTGTGTTAGGCACTAACAGTTTGGTGTTAGTGAATTACATATCCTAAAGATAAACATGGTAAATAACACTGACACTGCTAGAAAAATTAAAAGAAGCTTCCAGATACGCTATCATTTTAAACAACTCATCTTCTCCTTTAGGAGGACACAGGCACATTCTAGAACAAAAAGATGACTGGTTTATTTCCTATGACAAAGGAAAATGAATAACTACATGTGTCACAGAATTGCAGGGGGTTGGAAGGGATCTCAAGAGATCACGAGTCCAACCTCCCTGCTAAAGCAGGTAACAGAAAATAGGTTGCACAGGTAGGCATCCGGACAGGTCTTGAGTATCGCCATAGAAAGAGACTCTACCACCTCTCTGGGCAATCTGCTCCATCATCCTTACCATAAAGTTCTTTCATGTTAGTACAGAACTTCCTATGTTTGAGTTTTAGGCCACTGATCCTTGTCCTATCGCTACACACCACTGAGAAGAGCCTGGCCTCATCTATTTGCTTCCCACCTCCCTTTAGATATTTATGAACATTTATCAGATCTCCTCTCAGTCTTCTCTTCCCCAGGCTGAAAAGACCCAGGTTACTCAGCCTTTCCTCACACAGGAGATGCTCCAGGCCTTTTATAATCTTTGTGGCCCTCTGCTGGAGACCTTCCAGGAGATCCCTGTCTTTTTTGAGCTGAGGAGCCCAGAACTGGACACAGTATTCTAAAAGTGGCCTCACCAGGACAGAGTAGAGGGGGAGGATCACTTCCCTCAACCTGCTGGTTGTGCTCTTTTTAATAGACCCCAGGATACCATTAGCCTACACATACAAACATAACATTTAAAAATTTTTCATTGTAGTTATGCACTTGCTTGTATGAAGTACATTACTTAAGTTATGTTAAGATTTTTCGTGAGGCCTAGTTTTGAAAAAGAATTGGAATCAGTAAATGCTCTCTCATGTCAGTAAACTCATATTCATCCAGCTGGACTTTCTTGCAACATGTGATATCACTAAGAATGAGGCTAGTTTCTGAAACAAAAACAGCAGACGGTCATGGAAACAAAGCCCCACCTACAGGCAACTGCTCTCATTAAAGTAAGTTGTCATTAAATCACTGAGATCATTTAGTTAAAAAGAAGAAGATTGAAATTATGACTGTTACCAATGTCATACAGTTCATTCCACAGTGATACGTGGATTGTCCTGTGTTCTCTGGAGCTGCTGAAGCAGCTTTTTCTGTCCCCAGCACTTCAGCTTTCTCCTCTCAGCAGCTCCTACACTCTTTTTCCTTTATATCCTTTGCTGGGGTTGATTTTGTTTCCTCCTTCCCTCTTACTCAATTCTACAGCCATGCACACCGCTGCAGCCAGGCTGGCTCATAAGCTCAGATGTCTTCAGTACAGAGACAGAAGAACTGGGACAACTTGCATGCACCAAACGCCACCCACTCCTGGCAATATCCAATGCTGGGGGCACCCAAGCATGGCAGATTTACAGGAACATAGATGAATATGCTGTATTTTTTAATAACTTCAATTAACAGTTTGTAAATGCATAAATGAATAAATTCTGGGAAGATTCAGTTATTTTTATCACTGCACTTGTATGATGCATTTATTTTTATCGTTATTATTTATTTTTATTTCTACCAAGTAGAAAGTGAGAGCCCATCCTTTCAAGCAATATGTTACTTTCACAGGGCACTGTAATCTGTTATCAGAATTAAGTGGCCACATGGCACAAGCACCAGCATTAAGCACAAAGCAAAAGGATGGAAATACTTTCAATAAGGAAAGATATGATGTGTGGAGATATTCATTCAGCTGATTCAAACTTGTGCATTCATCTACAGCTGTCTTTTAGGAGACAACAGTGCTTTCTTTAGATACAATATCCAATTTTGAACTACAGTAGTTCAACTCCCAGTCAGAGTTAATATTGAACTGGTATCAAGTGAGCTAAGTCACATCCTTAACAGCACAATACCCAGTGGTGAACCAATAAAAATAAATGCTGAGTCTGCTGGCATACTTTCCAAGATAGAAAGTTATTTTTTCCTTTTAACTCTCAGTATTCCTAACTGCTCATGATTCCTCACAACATTTTTGAGAGCATTCTTAAGAGGTCATGACATAAAAATGATTTTAGCTTCTGAATCTTCTGTAAATAACAGCACTCTTGAAAATAAAGAAGTAAAAATTAAAACAGACCTTCTTGTTTCTTTATTTCTTCTAAACTCCTTCTCATTGTTAGTTTGGTATCGTCATCCTCTTCACTATCAGAACCTTAAATGCACAAATTAAATATAAATTAAACATTGCTTCTAAGAAAAAAAATGTCACACACCTCTTACATTTCTTTTACTATAACAGCATTGTAAGTTGTATTTGAACTGCCCTTGTTCCTATCTGAAAACCACAGCAAAACGTGTATATATAGTGGCATACAGTGGTATTTTGAAGTGTCTAGTAGGGATTGGTACACCTAGACTTTTTATCCCCACTCTTGTTTTAAATGGAGTCTCAGAAAACTAAGGGTTAAAAACCAAACAAGTCAATTAGTCCCATCATACATTCATTTTCTCCCCAGAGGCTCCTGCTGTTCTGGGAGATGGTCTCTGTAATGAGGTTGCATAACACCCACAACAAACTCAGTCTCCTCTACGGTCACAGCAACAGAAGCACTTCTGATTATGTTTAGAGACAAAGAAGATTCTGATACAGACATCTAAATCACTGACTGTGTGACTTTCAATGAAACAAATTAAGTGTTTAAAGAGACTTCCTAAAATTTCCAGCCTCTGGCACATACACCTTGCCTAAGCAGCAGCACTGCTGACTCTCATATTTCCCAGAATAAAATCCAGCAGCTAGTGTCAAACAGAACTCACGAATCCACAGAGATACCAGAAATCTCTGGATATCTACTGCAGTAAAAAATGCCTTTCTCCAGTCACTTAGCAGACTGCCTGTGAAAGCCTTCTCAGAGCTGCCAGCTATCTGGATAGCACAGATACCTCCCTGTATATCACCAACCAAAGCAAACAAAACAGAAGAAAAAAAAAACCCACACAAACCCAAACCAAACACCATTAAAATCACTTATGAAAGAAAAAAAAAAAAGGGGAAAAAAAGAAAAAAAGATTACAGAAGTGGTTTCACCCACTTATTAATGACCATTTTAATGCTCCACATGGCCCTAAAGTGTGATGGTGTGCCCCCTCTCACTCTTCCCTTTCCAGTCTGACCATCTCACCACCATACTGGCTGCTTTCCAGCTTTGGCTGGCTGCTGGAGAAACCAGCACCATGCTCAGAGGCTGATGGCTAATCAAGCAAGCACTGACCCAACCACAGCCTCACCTCAGTGCTAGACATTAGCAGTGTGACTATGACAGTCACCCCATAAATAGGGAGCATCCCACAAGCCCCTTCAGCTGTACTGCACGATAGTGGGCAGTACGGCAGGATTTCATAGAATCATGAAATCGTTTGAGTTGCAAGGGACCTTTAAAAGTCAGCTAGTCTAAGTCCCCTGCAATGAACAGGGACATCTACAGCTAGAGCAGGCTGCTGATCCAGCCTGAGCTTGAATGTCACCAGGGATGGGGTACCTACCACATCTCTGGGCAACCCGTTCCAGTACTTCACCACCCATATCATAAACAACTTTTTTCTTATATCCAATCTACGTCTCACCTCTTTTCATTTGGAACCATTTCCCATGGTCCTGTCACAACAGGCCCTGCTAAAGAGTCTGTCTCCTTCTTTCTTGTAGTTCCCCTTCAGATACTGAAAGGTCACTATCAGGTCTCCTTGGAGCCTTCTCTTTTCCAGGCCGAACAGCCCCAGCTCTTTCAGCCTGTACTCACAGGGGAGCTGTTCCATTGCTTGGATCATTTTTGTGGTCCTCCTCTGGATGCATTCCAACAGGCCCATGTCTCTCCTGTACTGAGGGCTCCACATCTGGACACAGCACTCCAGGTGAGGCCTCACCAATGCAGAGTAGAAGGGCAGGATCACCTCCCTTGACCTGCTGTCCATGCTTCTTCTGATGCAGCCTAGGATACAGTTGGCTTTCTGGGCCATGAGGGCACACTACAGCCTCACGTCCAGCTTGCCACTGACCAGTATCCACAAGTCCTTCCTGGTAGGGCTGTGCTCCATCCTGACATCCCCCAGCGTGCACTAACAGCAGGGATGCCACACGCTAGGTAGAAGAGCTTGCACTTGGATTTATCAAACCTCATGAGGCTTGCCTGGGCCCACTGCTGGAGACTAAGTCTCTCTGATGACATTCCATCTGTTAGGTGTGTCAACTGCACCACACAGCTTGATATCATCTGCAAACTTGCTGAGAGTGCACTTGATCCTACCGTCAGCGTCACTGATGAAGATATTAAACAGCACTGGTCCCAGTGCTGACCTCTGAAGGACACCACTCATCATTAAAGTTGGGATACCTCTCAAGGTTATGGCAACCCTGACGACAAGACATGTTGCTGATACTGATCTTCAGTAAATGATCAGTAGTTTGCTTTATAGAATCACAGATCACAGGGACTGAAAGGGACCTCTGGAGAATATCTTGTCCAAGCACCCTGCTAAAGCAGGTTCCCTACAGTAGGTTATGCAGGAAAGCATCCAAGTAAGTTCTGAGTATCTCCAGAGAAGACGACTCCACAATCTCTCTGAGCAGTTTGTTTCAGTGCTCTGTCACTCTCAAAATGAAGACCTTTTTCCTCACATACATATGGAATTTCCCATTCTAGATCTAGTTTCTGCCCATAGCCCCTTTTCCATCACTGAGTACTGTTGAAAATAGGCTGTTTAAACTTTGCTAGCTTCACAAAGATTACATCTTAGACTGAACGTGCACATACAATCCCTTACACATTAACCATTGACCAAGTCTGAGATTACAAATGGATCCAGCCACACCTAGGCTCCTGACTTCCATAGCTGAAGGAGTTTATAAAGCAAGGGGATCTACTCTGAACCTCTTGAGTCAATGGGAGGGTCCCCGATGAATGTTTTGACCTCTACCCTCTATGTAGTACATTATAAAATGTACCTTGCCATCTCAAATCTTGTCATCTTATTCACATTTAAGCTTTATTAAATCACTGTTTTATATCAATAAATATATTGCTGCTTCTCTCTTACAAGTGAAGTGGATAATTCCATCTGTGACAACCTGTTAGAGATGTAACAGTTGAGGCAATCACCCCCTAACTCATTTCTTGGCATAAGCATAACAGACGAATAAGTAGCAAGCCATAGTACCAGATTCTCTGGTTTGCTGCCATTTTAAATAAAAATGCATTCAGAGCACTTTTCTGGAGGTGTTTTTTTTTTTCCAGGCAATTTGACAAAAGAAGTTGGCAAACTGAGAAAGCAATATTCTTCAGACTGCAACTTGCATAGCAGGTTAAATAGCAAAGGATAGGAGCAGTCAGAAATTCAGTAGCTTCTTTCAGTATTAGATAAAGAAGTTGGCTTTCCTGGAACTGGTTATTGAATCAGAGAGTATTTACCACAACAGAAATCACAATGGCAACCCACTGACACAGTGTTGGAGCACAGCTCATTTCTGCTTACTTCTGACTTCCCCAACACAGGCAGAAAGCAAACCTGAGGCCCATTTCTTCCAGAACGTAGCAGATTACTAACTAAAGTGGGTTTTACTGACAATTAGAATAGTTATGAATATTCAAACAATTTGTAGATAAGTTACTACTTCAGTTCATTTAGAAAGTCTAGGATCTTAGGCATTAATTCAGGCCTCATCTTTCCATTTTTTTTTCTTTTAATTTACCAGTCACACCACTTTGATTACACTGCTGTAATAACACGGGTTACACATCCATACTGGAAAGGAGGTATGCACAAACCGGCAGGCAAAACATTTAAATGTCTTAAAAATAAGTTGCCCGTTCCGTGATTTATCATTACTACTAATATGCAGTAACTGAATACTGCTGAGTAGTTACATCATGGACAGGTTTGTATAAAGCACAGTTGAAGGAACACCATTCCACTGGCTACGCCTCTATTTCTTAGTATATATGCTTTGAAGCCTCTGGACATGAAAGCATAGTTCAAACACAGTATGTGGTAGGTGTCCAATCATACACTGAGCTTTCCTTGTATTAATCTCAGTTCATAAAAAAAACTGATCGCAAGTCAATGACTACGATAAATTGAACCAGAAGAGCTCAAAGAATCTATGGAACTTCAAAACAATTACAACAGATGATGTCCTGCCTAGTTGGAGGGGAAAAAAAGAAAAAAAAAAAATCAGCTCAGACTCAAAGGTGGTTCAAAAGCATGATAGAAGTCTCATGAGCTACACTTTGCCTCCAGTGATCTCAAGGCTGGTCATTATTTGATAGACTTCCAGCCCCAGCCTAACTATATTAATGCATATTCAACTTCCCATGAAAGCAGTTGCTGGGCTCTTTTAAATCTTTGAGTTGGTAAAAGCTAACTCATTAAGAGGTTAGTAAATGGCCAAAAGTTATCTAGGATTTTTTTCTAATGCAAAAGTTTGTCAGTGTCTCAGACTGTACTGACTTTGTCTATCCAAAAACTAAAGCATGATGTTTGCCTGCAGTGCCACCCTCCACACCCAAATCTACACAGAGCAAAGATTAAAGGTGTCACATTGGTTGCCTGATGAGGCAGGCACAAAAGCAGTAATGTTTCACCACCCTGGATGTGTTTAAAAACTGTTTGGATGTGGTGCACAGAGACACATTTTAGCAGAGGGTGGTTGGAGTTAAGGTAGTTTGGTTAGGTTGTGGTTGGACTTGATGATCTTTAAGGTCTTTTCCAACCTGAGCAATTCTATGATTCTGTGTCCCTGTTGAAATCAGGAATAAGACTGCAACCATCAGAAAAAAGGCTCTCTATAGGCAAAAATCCTAAGCAGAAATGTTTGAACACATAAGGTGTAAGGTACAGGAATTCAGCTTGCTTTAGCAACTACACAGCAAGAACTAAGTATAGAACTCATCAGTTGTCAATCAAAGAGATGGAACAATCACCTGATTGAACAGATTCATTTTTAAGTTGGAAAAAACTGGGCTGACTTTCCACACTGTACAGATCACAGTGATCGCAAATGTTTTTTGTAGAATGCCTGTATCCTGTGTCTGAACTCTGCTTTCAGGAGATCCTGGATTTCAGTCAATATGCTCCATGCAAGGATCACAGAATTACAGAATGGCTGATGCTGGGAGGGGCCACTGGAGGCCACCTCGTTCCCCCTCTGCTCAAGTACAGCCATTTAGAACCACAGATGTCCAGGTCTGTGTCTATGCACCTTTGGGGCACCTCTAGGAAGATGTTGTAGTGGGGAGCCCAGGAACGGACAGGGATGGCCTCACCATGCTGAGTAAACAGGAAGCATCACCTCCCTCAACCTGCTGGTACAGTCCTCTGAATGCGGCTCAGGAAGCTGTTGGCTTTCTTTGCTTCAAGAGACCATTTCTGGCTCACGGTCAACTTCGATCTGCCAGGATACCCAGGTCCTTTTCTGAGGAGCTGCTTTCCAGCTGTTTGGCCCTCAGCATGTAGCAGGGTTGATCCTCCCCAGGTGCAGAACTTCAGTTTCCCTTTGAAACATCGCAAAGTTCCTGTCGGCCCACTTCTCCGGCCTGCCCAGGTCCCCCTTCTCCCAGTTTTGTGTCTCTGCCAACTTTCTGAGGGCACGCTCTGTTTCATCATCAAAATCATTAAAGGAAAAGTTAAAGACAACTGGATCTAGCACTGATTCCCAGAGTACACTGAGAGTTATCAGCCTTCAGCTAGACTCTGCACCACTGACCACCAGACCCTCTAGATTTGGCCACTCAGCTGGTCTCCAACCCACCCCACCATCTGCTCATCCCACCCACACTTCCTCAGCTTGCACACACTTCATCAGCATACACTTCTGTTTTCGCTGGCACCTTTGAAGGCACAGAATAAATGAGAATGTATAACCTGAAGAAATCAGGCATTTCCTGTTTCTCTTGTAAGAAAGGCTTAGCATACGATGTAGCTCCCAGAACCTCTGCAGTCAGAGAAGAAGCAATTGCCCAATTTATCAGTCAGGACATCTTAAGATACCACCTCTTTTCTGGTATGTTTTGTTAAATAAGCAACAGCTTAGAAACTTCAATTGTACCCACTCTCTCAAAGAAATCCTACTGCTCTCTTCTATTCTTATATACTACCAAATTCCTCACAGAAGGAAAAGTCATGAAAACAAATCTCGTACGAGCATAGAGATCAGTGATCAGGAAGATTAATCCTAAGAATGGGAGTGAACACAGTAACATTCCTTGAGAGATACAGTACAACAGTACCTGCCAAGCCTCAGAAACCTGTTCTGGAAGGGGAGGGTTAAACCGCCACAGAACACAAGTGTCAGCCTGTGTCTGACACCGAAGTGTCAGCCTGAATCTGGATTAGCTGCCCACGCGCCTCACAATAATTCCTCTCCTCCGGCACTCTTCTCTTACAGCCTCCCCAGCTACTACCACTCCCTCAGTAGTTTCCATCAGGTTTCCTCACCACGCTGAAAACTGGATTTCCCCTGACTTTCATCCTCCTCTCTTGCCTTACCGTACCCACACACCTCATGACTGTTTCACACATTAATCACACGTGAATTAACTGCACCCTACTTCCCTGTCCTCTCCTATGATGCTTTCTCTGTTTTTTCAGTAACGCCTTATTTTCTCAGTCTATTTATTATCCCGATACACAGTGAGATAAATATTACAAAATTCTCTCACCAACTATTGTCCCTTTTCCTTTTTACATCTGACACGTGAAGTTTCAGTGCTAACTTATAACAGTATCATTAAAATTACTTCATTCAAGCTCAACTTAGCCACAGATGTGGCTATCAGTCATGTACAACATCTGTGATAATTTTTCCTTTACAGCAATGTTCCTTGGTTTCCTTTTGATTATTCCTTTTTCACTAAATCCCTGAGTCCCCACGTACTCCTCCCCAATATCTATTACTCTGATCTCTGTTTCTTTGTTAGGTGACATCATCCATAAATGCAAGTGCAGCTGCTCCCTGCTGAGGGCTCAAAAACCCAGAAGGCCATCTCTTCCTCTATGCAAACTAAAGCTTCATTCTGCATCTCTCTCCCTGCAGACCTTCATTCTGTGCAGTGTGACTATAAATAAAGCTGTATCCCCAATTCTGCTTTAATTGCATTTTTTTGCAACTGCAGCCAATATCATGGTGGTCACACAGACTTTCATTTAATCTTCATTTTACACACCTCTCTAAAAACTCACAATCGGGTTAAATTAAACCTTGAAGCTTTGTTTGGATGGTCTGGGTGGTGAGGTCTTCCCAGTCCATCCACTTGGTTGGAGTTCTTCTCCATAGGGCTCATATATATATACATATATATATATATATATATATACATATATATATATATATATATATACATACATACATACACACACACACACACATCTATATATTCACATTTATATATTCAAATACACATCTAAGGGATGTCACTGACATACCAAAGCTAGTAACAACTTCCTGTGGTAGCTAAGCACAAAGCCACAATTCAAGGGTGATTTTCTTATCAGTCCCTACTGCTGTAAGTTGTGGCCACTGTGATAACTGTGTAAATAAAGCAGCAAGTGCAAAAACCATAGTCACTCTAGTAGGCATGGTGCAGCTACTTTGCATCACACCACAGATGCTCATGCCCTTTGTGTTAAGCCTCTTTGGACAGCAGGGGCTGAAGGCTGTAACCTAATCATCTGCAGTCTGACACTTGTGTTAACTGAAAATTCAGGAAAGCATCATATATCACTACATCACTGGTTTTGACAATCTCATGAGGCAGCCAGGCTCCTTGAAGAAGAAAGCCCCTTGACGTAGGAGCTCAAGCAATTAAATAATTTGAACATGAGTTTCTGAGAGACACAGCTAAGCTGAAGTCCTCAACTTATGCAAGAATCACTTTTGTCAACAGAATTTCTGGCACTTGTACCACTGTCAGCACAGGCATGATGATTCCTAACCTACCATCAGCTTTGCCCTCAACACTGTCCAGAATTCATTAGAAGTGCACTTTGTGTCAGTACTGGCATTGTAAAATACCAGGTGTCAAGATATAGGCAAGGGATTGTGCATGCTGCAAACCTCTGTTGGTAAAGGAATAACTGGTCTGAGTCAAACCCTCTATTAACATGAATGAATCTCTCATCACATGTTGTGCCTTCAGCATAGAAGAAAATTAAGAAGTTATGAAGTTAGTTTTAATCAACAAAAAGCAGATAATCCTGCCTACATTTCATACCTCAGAGGAAATTCACATTCTCCTATGGAAACACAGTCGATAACCTGCAACATACACAGGAACTTCTTTGCTTTTTCCCCCTGTTTAAATGCCTGCATGTAGTACAGTTACCACAGCAGTTCTGCTGAAATGGCAAAATGGTTCACAAGGTACAACAGTCAAGATGTCTCCCGTCCAAGCAACCCACCCGCGTGCATGCATGCTAGTAATAGCTCTACAGAGATGATTCAGGTAAATTGCCTTCTCATTTTGAAGCTCATCCAATACCAACAGCTGTTTTAATTTTTCAATGCAACTCTCTGTGGTAAATGTTTTTCACCTATTTCTTCCGTCCAGAACAATGCCCATAGATTTGATACCACTGGAAAGCAAACAATCCTTGTTTACATGTCCTCATATTCAGCTGCATTTCTATAGCAGGACAACAGGTTAGACCAGCCCACGATACAAAGGCACAACTTCCCACCTCAGCCCTCTGATACTGGTCTTGCTACATACAGGAAGACTTGCAAATGCCTGCTGATCTTCTGACCCATGCAGCAAAGCATGTATTCTGAGGTGGCTGCATCTTTTTCAAAGCCTTTCACAGACTCTTGGCCATGATACCAACTCACTGCCCAGACTACACAGTCCTGCTACCAAAACACAGTTTTCTGTCCTGTTTTAATACAGGAACAGGAGTAAACAGGCAATTTTTACTGTCTGGGTTAAATCTTGTTGACACTGACAGCAGAAGGGACCTGAGAACAGCTCAAGACAATTCTGTTCACTGTGGGTTTGCACAGGAACATGACATACACATGATTCCAGCACCTTCTTACTTAAAGAAGCAAGTGTATCGGGATAATAAAGAAGCACACAAACAACATTAGTAAGACACACAATGACTGTGCAGTCAGTACGTTCAAGTCTGGGGCCTCTCAACAGTCCCCATAACCATAATAATTATGATAAACATTAACATCGTAAAGCACATGAAAAGAATGTCTAAATAGGAAAATTCAGTTCTTCTGTGAATATTTCAAGATGTCTTAAAATATTTGAAGTATTTAAACACATCTCAGCCTCAGTATCTTTTGCACCAAAATAAGATTGCTCAAACCTCTGATTATTCTATATAAAAACAGTGTGATCACTTAAGCATGGCATTAATTAGAATATTAAATGCCTTCATTGGTATTTTTCCTCCAAACAGAGGCATGAGCCACGTGCCAGTGAAAACAAATAACAAGTGACTGGAGGTCAACACTTGGATGCAGGACAGTCAGAGTTAAAACAGGCAGAGATTTTGGGAAATAACAATGGCACTAAAGTGAGGTCACAGCTGTCTCATGGCACAAATGGAACAAAGCAGATTTCAGCAGAAATCAGTAAGTAAACACATCACAGTGCTCTAAACAGCTCTTCTTCAGACAGAAAGGAGGTTTCAGACAGAAATAACTGCTTGTTCCAGGTTTTGTTAGACTGAACAAAAATGTGAAGTTAAGTCTGATTTCAAAACTTGTACCAAGCAAACTGATCTTCCGAGCTGCATTTCATTGCAATACAATACAAGAAGCACCAAGCAACAACTTGTTTTCATCAGCACAAGAGCTCACTTATTTTATTGACGCCTAGGCTGCTGGAAAGACTGCATTTACGTTGACTTTCTACCTTTTGTGGTATCTGAAATGCTGTTTAGCAAGGCACACATCATGTCTCCTTCGATGTGATGGGGATTTAGAATGCGAGCTGACCGCTGAGTCATCTTAAATTGAGCTTCCAGTTCCAAGAAGCTTTTGTCTCCAGAAAGTACAGTGAAAGGAATTTGCTTGGGCAGGTGCTCATCCAGCCGACCAGCCTGCATGGAAAAAAATGACAGATGTTAAGACTGCACTTTTATCTCACAGGCTCTGGCTAGCTTTGCCTAAGAGCTCTTTGTAGGAAAATCTACAGCAACTTACTTTCATCATTATATGGAATTTATGCTACCATGAAAGGTATTTTTTACTCAGAGGATGGTGAGGCACTAGAACAAGTTGCCTGACAAAACTGAAAACACTACACTGGGGAGTCCTCATGATACCTCATGTTCCTGCTTCTCATCTACACATCTCCCAACCTGAAGCTCTAGGTCTACTGAATATGGACACTGCTCTTTGTCAGCTCAGCAGGGTCTCTGAAGCTGGCACTCATCCATGGACATCTAGCTCTAAATTTGGGCCACTTGAAGGAAGAGGGAAAAGTTACACTTCATTCTGAAACAGCAACTGTAACACCTGTTGTATTTTTTTTTTATTTTTTAATTCTTCATTTCCTATCCAGCTCCCACGTTTTCACAACAGACTGATGTCTTATGTGTCTTACCTGGAATTACATTTGTATTCCTAAAGAAAAAAACATAAAGCATAGGGCAGAGTGATGATGACAGCTACATTTAATATATTTACCAATGTAATTTATGTTGTGTGGTCTTCAGGCAATCCATAATTCAATTCATAGGGCAAGAGTAAAATGTATGACATTCAGGGTTACCCAAAGGTGTGAGGGGGTTCCTTCAACATCAATTCTCAACACATTGTCTCCACTCAATTCAGCAATGGTTCTATAATTCTTCTTAGTGGACACACAAGTTGTGTGAAGAGAATCTAACATCAATGGCACACATCATCTGCCACCCTTCTCTCATACTAAAACAAGAATAAAGACAGCACACACTGACATGACTTACATGAACACAGATTGCAAAGTCTGCTGCCTCTCTTCTGGTACCACAACGTGGATGAAGGAAGAAACATCCAATCTTGTTAAGATAATTATAAACTTTGCACTGCACTGGAGGTTTCCAGTTACTGTATCCTCCTAAGCATTAAAAAAGTATAGCAAAGTCATCATGTAATAACAATGCAAGGCAAAAGTAAAAGATAGAACTGACTTTAGAGACAATTTATTTTGACAAACATGAAAGCTGAAAAAAATGCATTACCAGAAGCCTCAAAGCCCTTGTTGGGTTAGAAAGCCAAAAATGAAAAAGCAGCTAGTCTGATCCTACACAAGTCCTCTTATTTAATATTCTATGTATTTTTCTATTATTTCTGAAAAAAATTATTTTCCAGAAATCGTGTACGTTTAGACACACGATCAGACACAGCAACACATCTTTTCCAGTCCTCAGCACACTTAATGGTCAATGTGCAAAGGAGCTCTAGGAAACCAGTACAGTAACAGAAATGCTTCTCTTCTGGAACCCTTTACTAATGCAACGCCAAGATTATTCCCAAGAGAATTTATGATTGATTGTCACATGCCAGAACTCTTTAAAGAGAAGATCCAAGAACTGAAGTAGAAGCTGGAGACAAATATTAGAGACTGGATAAAAACTTGGATGGAGTCAAGGAGAAGAAAAGCGATACAACAACTAAAGAAAAATAAAGCTGGAATTTTCTAAACAACAGTAGCCTAAAACATGTAGTTACTGGCTGAGAAAATAGTTAACAGAGAACAGTGAAAACAGGTTGAAACAGGTTGGAAGGGAAAGGAAAGGAACAGCAGATCTTTAATGAAGGAATAAAAAAAAAAATCAGAGTATCTTGAGATTACCATGACAACACAAAAACAGATGGAAGACAATTTGAAGGAAGTGATTAAGAACCTCATGACATTCCCAGATGTTAAGAAGTAATGGGTCTGCATGAGGAGAAAAAAAAATTTGCTTGATGTGCCAGGTAATATAACAGCTGAACATAAGACAGGATTTTGAATGGTAAGTGAAACCAGTCACTGCACTTCACGTGAGAACACATGTGAAACAAACACAGAAACAGGGCACAGAAGACTGCGTACTCCCAAGTCTGATAAAGAAGCAGAAGCAGTCTCCAGCAGATTTTTTTTTTTTTTTTTTAATTTCTATCCTAATGTCTATAAGAGGGCATCAGAAACAACCACAAAGTTCAAGGATTCAGTAACAGATTATTCAGAAAGGATTTAGGGCTGTTCTGCCCTTTAGAAAAATGGTCTTTCTAAGTTGTTCTTATCTGTTATGCCAGTCGTGGCCACTGTCACTTGGGAAAGACTTGAAATCAACATTTCTGGCATTTGGGGGTCAAGAACACCTGACAGAGCTCTAGTGGAGCTGGACCACAAAATGAGTGACAGAGAACTCAATGTCTGAGAACAGAAACAACATACAACCTGGTCAATACAATGAGGGGAACTGAAAGAAAAGCTAAGATCGTATGAAAAAAAAAACCAAACCGACCATAACAACCAGAATAATAGACACAATGCAACATGTATCATTAAAAAACAACACAGTCAGCGATGCTGTTTGGAAAGCACAGAAAAACATGAGACAGGGATGTCACTGCATTTTCACAAGCTAAATGAACAGGAATAGCATGCATTAAATAATTCCACGAACTACTGCTGTGGCCCTCATGAACCTTAGTATTCCCAAGCTTTGCAACAATCCTTGTGACACTAATAAACAACCAAAATCTTCTTCAATACAAACTGGGCCCATTTTAATGGCAGCTAACTCTTCAGCATGGTCTTTCTGTTCAAGATCTTTAGCAAACATTCCCAACTAGGCAGCCTGAACCTCATTTGGAAAGCAAGAAATTTAGTATAGGATGACCAGAGACCGAAGAAAATTGAAATACGGCAATGTAAATTCATGCCTTCTAGATCTAAAAAGAAAAAAAAATACGACAAGGACTTGGGAGTTAGAAACCAGCTAGAAAGAAATTCTTTTTTTTTTTTTTTTTCCCCCCCTCTGAGTATTATGTATGTCCTGAGGACTATGAAAAGCTAGTATATCACCTAAGCAAGTTCAGCTGGGAGTCAAAAAGACTCCCCAAACCATTCAGCACATTTAGCACCTTTGGAACAGTATTCTACAAGGATTCTACAAGAGAAGCAGAGCTTAAGGCTGAGTTAGAAAACTTTGAGAACATTTCTGTTACTTGATTTCTATGATGTCATGATTTGAGAGGCCCCAAGGGCTGCTTTTTTCCCCTCATTCTCTCACAGAATCTCTGCTCAAATGTGTGTAAACTCACTTTTTTTTTTTTTTTTTTTTCCTTTGACCACTTTACCTTGAAAGCCCCAGATGAATGTTCCTTGGTTCAGGTTAGCTGGCAGCTGTGTGAATAAGCTTCCCCAGTTGTCCAGATCCACCAACACAATGTGAGTCATGGTACTCAAATAGTCGAGATCTGGAAGTTCACTGTCTTCAATGAGATAAATAGGAACATTTTATGTTTACTCAACTTTCCAGTCAACAAACATATATAAATTTAGATACATTATCCTATTTAGTGGCTGCATTGTTTCAGAATTGTTTTTAAATCCACTGAAGTAGCCCTTAGTAATAAATTAGATAAAAGACATTAGAATCTAGCAGCACAATGCTGTAGAACTGGACAGCTGGCACAGAGAGCTACTTTACTGAGACACTGAGGTCTTTATTAGTATACTTAATGTTTAACTGTGCACTTCCTGCTCTGGCACATTTATAACATGTAATTGCTTAAAACCATAACAGTACATAAAATGCTTAGAAATGTACTTTTTGCTGTGTATTCATCAAAAGTATGATGACACCATGAGAAATTAAAAAACACTCCCAGTTTTTGTACACGTGAGATACACCTTTGATGTCATTCTTGGAAGTGATGTGAATTTAAAAAAAAAACAATTAAGAATGGACACTTTGGGCAAAGCCATTCCAATACATGCTGCTGCTGAGATTATTTTTTTTGTGAGCTAAGCACGAGTAAAAAGACAGCGTAATAACAGGACTGCCTGTACAGAAAGCACCACCAGCCTCACCAATTTGTGCGTACAAAAGAGGTAAGGTTCCTTGAGCGTGTATTTTACTGTGCTTTCACATTTCTAGAAGTTCGATCTCTGCCTGGGGTCCTGAATCATGAAATTATACTCCCAAGTAACCTGAGAAATTACATGTGAGAATCTTTGAACTGAAACATTTGTCTGCTTTCTTTTTTTAAAAACTTCATTCATAAGGCATATAGTAATAAACTTAAGATCTCAAGTATTCAAAATGCAACTTTGACAATAAATTCCGAGCTGACTTACAGACTAGATACAGGCAAATGATACATTACATACTTGTACTGCATTAAAACAGTGTGGTATTTTTCCAATACAAACCCTCACCAGGCTCTTTGGAGCATGCTGAATTTTCAATTTTTCCTTTCTTCCCATGGCTTGGTCCCTGCAGGGGAGGAGACTGTGATCTTCTCTGAGTCTTGGATGGATTTGCATGAGATTTTAATTCATGGGGCTTTTTCTCCACACAAGCCCCACTTGCCGTGAACTTGAATACTCCATTTTCTGGTTCTGATGCAAAGCTTGATACATCAGGTTTCTGTAAGAAGCAGTGTTTCATGTGATAGTGCTGATGTGCACTCTGAAGATCATCAAAATTTTTGTTGCATGCAGCACATCTAACAACATACATCTCTCGCTTACTTTTCACTGATGTGTGGCTGTTGAGATGACTGTTCAAATCTGCAAAATTCTGTGCAGTTGCAGAACACAAGCAGCAGCGAAACCATAAGTTTCCTTCCTGCAGCATGGCTTTCTGACAGTTCACGGAATCATTCCTCCTGTTTACTTTGGAGATGTAAGTTGTCCGGCAACCACAGGTTAGATAGTCTCCATTTTCTTCTGGGAGGAAGTCATCTTCTTTTTTTATTGATATTTCCATCTGCTCGGGCACAAAGACATAGTCCATGCTGTGAGACTCCTTATAGTGGATTAGAAATTCTTCCTCTACGTCAAAAAAGAGATCGCCACAAAGGCCACAGAAGTATTTAATTTTTATCTCTCCATTATGATGCTCTTGGAAGTGCCGCTGCAGCGTCCCTACCTTCCGAAAGTGATTTTTGCACAATCCACAGCAGTACCTGTGAAACGCGTGGCTTTCTATGGACATACAATGCTGCTTAACGCTGTCTTCAGATTCAAACATCTCTTCACAAATCTGGCACTGCCATTTTCCCAGATGAGGAATTTTTTCAGGAGAGATTTCCACGCAGCTAGGAATGGAGTCTTTCCTTTCATCTTTGGAAATGTACGCTGTGTTAGAAGCTGACGGCATAGGTTCATCTTCAAGAGCTTCTTGCTCATAATAGTAACTATGTCCGCCATGGAACTCAGTCACATGTCTCATAATATCCTCCTCTTTCAGGAGATCTACAGAGCATGCCCTGCACCAGTACAGAAAGTTCGTCAGGTGTGCCCCTCCGTGAAATCGGCTCATGTGCAGGCGGATGATGCTTGAGTTTTCAGCAAGCTTTCCACATACAGCACATTTGTGACAGATCCTATTTGCCGACAAAATATGTTTTTCTACTGACTCTTCTGTAAGATACTTTTGAAGGCATTCACAAAACCAGGTTTTCACTTTACAAGCACTATCTTGGCTTTGGTTTCTGACATGATCTTCGTTGTTTTTTTTTAAATCACTTTTCCATTTCGAAGGAGTAAATTCACTTTCACTGGCTGACTCATTTGAGCTCACATGTCTCTTAAGCAATGGTCGTGACCAATCCACAGTATGGCACACATGAGATGCATTTTTATTTTTTTCATTGATATGACAGAACATCAAGATGGACTCTTCCATTGTAGTAAGAACTTTAACGTTATGGTTAGTGCTTTGCTTATGCTGCATGATCTGATTGTCATCAACAAGAAGCTCATCACAATTCTCACAGTGACCTTTTGTTCTGAATATCTCTGCAACCTGGGAGATCCTCTTCTTGGACACTGCCATAGGGCCAGAATTACGACAACGTGTTCTAATGTGGATTAAAAACACATACACGCATACATATATATATCATGAAGGTGTATATCATAATCAGAAACATTTTTAAACCTTCAGACATACTTTGAAATTTTACCTACTATCTACAGCAACAGCGTGGGTAAGCAGTGCCCTCGAGTTTACTTTAGCTGACTTACTAGCTTGTCAACAAAAACATGCACTACCTAGCTAGTCTGCATTTTAAAGAGAATTAAGTATTAATTCCCAACACTAGCACTTGGATTGATGCTCTATGCTGCTCACACAGTACATCCTTGAAATCAAATGCTCAAAACTTAGAAATAACAGAACAGAGGTCAATGAAGTTCTGTTGTTCTCTGTCACAAAAAGTAACAAAAGAATATAAACACTGACCAGTGATTTTATGGATCAAGAGAGAATAAGAAACATGGAAAAAGAGAGTTTTCTGTTTGGATAGTCTACTCAGTAAGTCAACATTTAGACGGTCCTAGGTGCCCTGAATTTCAGTAGCACTACAGAATACATCTGTGTTGCTTATATAAACACACTGGTTATCAGTTATGCACGTTCACATTATAATGACAGCTGCCTCACACAAACCTGAAGTGAGCTGTTAGTTCCATATGGGAGCGTAATATCTGTAAGCAGGACATGCATTTCACTTGGAAGGGAACCTCTTTGCAGAGAGATATCAGCAGCTTCTTTGCATAGGATGGGAAAGGTAGAGGAACATCAGCCTTCATTTCTACAACACAGAATGGCAGAAAGCACAATAACATCTTATGAATTTTCATAATATTCCAGCTTTCAGACGTTTCTACAATTATATTGATTTGGCAGGGGTCCAGAATTCAAGTTACCATGTGTCAGCTGTGCTCCACTATTTCTGCAATGGAAGCATTGCACAAAATTGCATTAATTTGTTAAAATTCTGTAACAATCTTATATCTGACTGTACTAGCATCTTGGTTTTCGTATTCAGTGACAGATTATTTCCCTCCTTCTGCAAGTTCAGGTCAGATCTCTCTCCTGGGCAGCCCTTTACTAACTTTCTGACTTTCTGCCTCTCCATCAGTCACTACCTATGTACTCCTACTACATACACTTTTGCTTAAAGCCACAGTGTGTTTAAGAAAAGAGAAGATATGCTACTCCTTTAGTAAGTTCTCACATACTTGGACCATCTCTCTTTCCCATCCACAGCATTACTTACAAATGCTACTTTAATTTTCTGCTTAGTAAGATTTAATGATCAGTAGGAAATGACTTAAGTCATTCAAGCACATCCCATGTTGACATTAATCCTGAAGACCAACCCTTGCAAACAAAAAGAAAAAAAAAGAAAGGGAACACTAAGTGCTATCCATCTCTCTATTTTGTGTTACTCATCTTTTCAAAGCAACAGGTCACCCATACATGTATTTTTTAAACCTACAACCCAATTTCAATACATCTCCAAGTCAGCAAATTCATAATTAACATTCTAATTGAGAATAAAACTACATTAGATGGGCAATATATAAGAGAACTCCAAACAACAAAGCAGATGGATGTTTCTACAAAGATGACAGTACTGTCTGAGCCTTCAGGAGGATCCTCAAAGCCCATCCTTACTGTGTACTTCTGCAGCCACTCCAGGGGAGGGCAGAAGTGACATATACAGTATGAGAAAATATACAGATCCTTTGACCACGTAAGGCTTATACTGAAAGCTAAACTATCTAAAACATGGCAGCTCCACCTACTTCTAATCTGTCTCAGCCACTTACTCAAGATTAAATGTTCCGTAAGAGGGGATGCTTTTAAGTTTAAGACACACATTCAATAATTAAGATCTTACAGAATATGCAAGGCCTTAGAAGAGAAACAAGAATTTATTAAGCAAACTTAAAAGCCTTAAGCTTTTTACATAGCAGAAAAATATAAGTCATATCACACAATGTATGAATTATCAGCAAGAATGAGAAGCCTGCTAAGTACATTTAGTAGCAACGCACCATTCAGTTTAGAAAGCTGGAGAAAGTGGTTCTTTCCTGACATATGCTTCAAGCATTCATCTCTTTTGGTGAAGAGGAGGAAGCAGCATGGGCATGCAAAACACTGAATGTGTTGTGGAGGGAGATCTTTTTCATGTCCGTCATCTTGATTTAGCTGGAAAATAAAAGGAGCTGATGAGAAGAAACACAGAATTAACAAAGGAATCCCATTTCTTTTCATGTCTTTCCATTCCTTTCCACCTCTGTAGCAATACTGTCACTTTTAGATTCTCAGCTACCACATGTATGTTTATTTCCAAGCTATGCACTTCAGCTTGTGAGTCACAAGAAGAACAGCCAAACTTCTACATCGACTTCAATCTCTGCTTCCAGGGACACAATCCTTTAATTCTACTTTTTTTTTTTTTTTTGCTTATTCTTCCCTTCTTCTGTCTCCCTGGAGAATCTTCATGACAGCTTTTTGCTTCCTTCAGAATTATTCTCCCTTCCTTCCACACCAAAATAATTCCATCCTTACGCCTGCCGCAAGAGGCAGTGCCTTAGACCAAACTTGCCTTTAAATCCTGCTAATGCCCACAGACATACCACAGGCACACAACTTGGAATAAAAGGAAAAAGAGCAGGGACAAACCATGATGCAAACTTGTCAAATATGATCACATATCAAGAGTTTCTGCTACTGCTTTAAGTTAGTCTGATTTTCACAATATTTAATATTTCCCTTGAATTTAATGGGCTAGGTGGGTAAACAACAATATTTGTTATTCAAACACTGAATTTTGAAACTGTTATCCATCACACAACTTAGCAATAGATTGCTTAGATAAAACCATGCACTCTGAACTTAGCATCTGAGCATCTGTCATTAAGCTGGAGGGAAAGACAGATGACATTGTAAAAGAAAGAAAGGAAAAGAATGGAGGTAGGGAACAACAAAAACAAACCCCAATTATATTAGCTTATATTCTAATCAAAACTCAAGTGCTAGATTATTCTGTTCCCTTCTGCAAGTTAACTAGCATGCACGTCAGACATGTTTCAATGGAGACACTGTAGACAGCAAAGAATCAATTGCATGAGTCACTCAGGTTTCTTCTCTAACTCTGTTGCCTTCTTTTTTTTTTTTTAATACCCTCTTTTGCCTCTTTATACTTCTTCTTATTTCACTTCAATTTCTTGTCTTCATCTTTCTTAGTTTCGGAGACATAAATATAGGGAAATATCTATTGACAGCACCAAGGATAAAACAATCAAGCCAAAACTTCAATTGTCTTTGATGTACAGCAGAGAGTACAATATAATGTCAGATTTAATGGGAGCACTGTCAGATACACCAAGCGTTTGAAACGCTGCAGAATAAGAAAAAACTATTTGGAGAATAATCACAGTGTAAGAGAGTGTAAGGAAGAGGGTTAAAAAGGAAAATGCACATAATTACTTGTCTTGATAACCCTCTATTACATTCAGGCAGATGAGTTACTTATCCTTATGGTCTTGCCTTAGATAAAAGATGATCACTGTACTGCTGAAAGCTTGAAAATATTTGGCAGCATATCACACAGGCAACAGCATTATTTGGGGGTCCAAGTAATGTGACTGTTGGGTCACAAGGAGAATGATCAAACCTAGAGAGGAAGAAATAATTAACAAACTAGTATCCTCACGACAGTTTAAAAAATATGTATACATGTTCTTATAGGAAAAATTAGGTCTTTTGAAATTATTGGACAAAAACCTGCCAAAATCAACCTGAAGTGCAAAATTCCTCTATTTGCCTATTGTTAGCTTTATCAGTTGAAATATCCCACATGAAAGCGATTTTCTCTCTGCAGCTAACCAGTTATAGTGACCTATTGGTAGAGGAATCACACTGTTTTTAAGAGTAAGAGAACTAATAAAGTCTCCATTTCCTACAAATCTGTATTTGTTTATTTTGTTTGTTTGGTTGATATTTTTTGTTTGTTTTTTAACACTTCCTGTATTGGTTTTGGCTGGGAGAGAGTTTATTTCCTGTACTGCAGCTATGTTTTGGATCCATGAACAAAGCTATGCTGATAACACAGCGATGTTTTAGTTGCTAAGAAGTACTTCCACAGAATCAAGGTCTTTTCAGTTTCTCATGCTGCCCTGCCAGCAAGGAGCTGCATAAAGGAAGGAACAGAACCAGGACAGCTAACTTCAACTGGCCAACAGCACGCCTGTTCCACGTGGCATACTTCAGAATAAAAGCTGGGGAAAAGGAAGACGGGGAAGACATTCAGAGTTACAGCACTTATCTTCCCAAATGACACTAGCTGTGATGGAGCACCGCTTTCCTGGAAACGGCTGAACTTTTTTCTGCTGATGGGAGTAGTGAATGAATTCCGTGTTCTGTCTTGCTCGCAAGCGCAGCTTTTGCTTTACCTAGTAAGCTGAATTCGTTGAAACCTGAGTTTTCTCTCACAAAACGAGGGTTGGAAGGGCCTTCTGGAGATCATCTCATCCAAATCCCTGTTAAACTAGTTCCCTAGAGTACCTCACAGAGGAAAGCAACCAGGCTGGTTTTGGAGTATCTCCAGAGAAGACTCCACAGCCTCTCTTGGAAGCTTGTTCCAGAGCTCTGTAACCCTCACAGTAAAGTTCTTTCTCATGTATACATGGAACCTCCTACGTTCCCGTTTGTGACCATTGCCCCTTGTCCTGTCACCGGGCACCACAGAAAAGAGCCTGGCCTCATCCTCTTGACTCCTGCACATTAGACACTCATAAACATTGATGAAGACGCTCTGTCAAGCTGAGCAGTCCCAGGTCTCTCAGCCTTTCCTCATAACGGAGATATTCCAGGACCCTAATCATCTTTGGGGCTTTATGGATTCCTCTCTAAAAGTTCTCTGTCTTTCTTAACTGAGGAGCCCAGAACTGGACACAATACTCCAGGTATGACCTCACCAGGACAGAACAGAGGGGAAGGACCACCTCCCTCAACTTGCTAGCCACACTTCTTAACACATCACAGGATACCATAGGTTTCCTTGCCCACAAGGGCACGCTGCTGGCTCATGGTCAACCTGTTGTCCACCAGGATATCTGGGACCTTCTCTGCGTAGCTCCTTTCCAGATCAGTCCCAACCTGTACTGAGGCATGTGGTTACTCCTCCCCAGGTGTAGAACTCTGCACTTGCTCTTGAGGAACCTCATAAGGTTCCTTTCATTTGGAGCATCTTTTTAATCCTACTATCAGGTTTTATACAGCTTGTATGTACTTAGTCTGCCATCCCTTTTTCAAGTTTGGATAAAGAAGGAACAGAAACTGTGCACTTAAATCCTATTTCTCAGAAAACCACATATTGAAAATGCTTAACAAGTGGGAGAGAACAATTCTGACTGAAGGAAAAAAAAACAAGAACAGAAAAACAGCCAACAACAAAAGAACCTCAAATCAGTAAATTACATCACCTGTACAAAATCTGCAACACATTACTCTGCTCTCCAAATGGAATTTTGTCACTATAGGCAGTTTAAAGTAGATTCAATGCAGGTGTTTTATGTTCACATATACTCTTTCACTATTATTTCTCATAATACATCCTCACCTTTTCAAGTGACCTAGGAGCAGATGTCCATTATCAAACTTTCTGTTGCAATGCATCACAGGACAAGAAATAGGACTTCTGTTGACTTGCATCTGACCTGCTCTCTGACAAACACCCCTTCTTCCACTGTTAACAGTGCCTGGTTTCAGACCTGCATTATGAAACAAAACATTTGACCATGGTCTCAATTATAGAGGCTTAAAAACATACAGAAAACACAAACCCTACAGCATTAAGAAAACATTTTAAGTTGATTCCTAAAAGCACGCTGGCAGTGATTGTAATGCAATTCTACAAGAAGTCTCTTCTTCCAGTTAAAGAATCTGCCTCTTCAATACCTGAGATTTCTAACACTGATGTATTTCCTCGAGGTCTTACAGGAAATAACTTATATTGCTTTTATGCATTAAAAAAAAAAAATATCTAAATCTAAAAAAAATATTTTTAACAGAAGTTATACTTACGTAGCCATATTCTTCTGAGCAACAGTACAATAGTAACATTTTTCTGACAACTTTGCCAGTCAAAACAGCTAACATTAATACCTTTTAATGTTAATAATACCTTAATACCTTTTGCATTTCATATATTTAATTTCCTAAGCGACAAAACACTACTTTAGTTTTTGAGGAAGCTATTGGAGAAGAACTTTCAAACACCACACTCTGGCAAACTTCATATTCTAAGATTTGGTTGTATGTCCAAGGCACCTGCAACCTCATGTTAATGCTGCTGTCAGGTTAAGCACTGCTTAATGCAGTTATCAGATGTTCTATTCTGCAACGCAGCACTTAGAAATGATCTTAAGTGAAATTTTAAAAATAATATTAAGTGAATTAGCAGTGTCTTCGAAATGATTTTCACTGATAGCTCTTTTCAACATAACCCAATAACTGTTTATTTCTCCTGCCATGCATTTACCATTAGCCTTTGATTCCTTATTACATATTCAAAATCTCACCTCTCCCATTCTTACCTGGCATTTTTAACCACTGGTCCACACATAATCTTGCAGCTTCTGTGTCACTGTGTTCCCGAATAAATTCTAGTTCCTGCAACCCGTGAGCATACTGCGAGTCAACTTTCTCCTGACAGGGAAGACATAAGGCAAGGTGGTGATCAACTGTACTTATTTATTTATTTTTAAGTCCAAGATTTCAGTTAAGTAAATCAAGTAAAACTTTCAAAATTTACATGTGGCTCTTCATAGCTGCACAGCAGGTTCTTCCCTCCAGTATCCCAGATTGTATTCTGTTAAAACGTCTCCATGCCGAGCTTGGTAACTGTGCTCTCTGTTCATAAGAGAGGTATCTCTCTTCAGCACCTTCCTGTTCCTTTTCAGTCATGCTATACATGTACACACACACACACACACACACACACACACACAGATTCTATAATCTCTGGGCTCTGCACCCATTAAGCTTCTTACTCTGTGTGAAATATCACATGTCAAAGAGTCAAAGTGTGAAAATGGAAGGAAAAAAAAATGTGTCTCACTGAAAAAAAATATATATATACTTAATGCTGCTAAGAAAAACACAGTATGCTATCTGTTAGTGGCCAGGGCCATTAAACTACAGTCCAGTCACTGCCTGAACAAGCACAGAATTATAGGGCTTATTATAAATGTGGCCCTTAAGAAGACATCAGATTAGGGAGAACACCTGGAAGCATACAACAGCAACATCTGTAAGCCCCTAAAAATTTCAAGCACTGCAGTCACAAATATTTGCATGTTGCACAGAGAGCCACTGCTAGCAGCTTCCTCTACATGAGATGAAAACTCATGGCATATTTTGCAAAAGCAGCTTCCAGTGTTCAGTGGGGCACATGGGTGGGAGAGGACTGTCTCTTCCCAGAGCAGTGCATAAATACATTCACTCTCCATGCTAGCAATCTCCTAGGTGGTACCATACAGAATAACAGTCGTGCAAATCATATGACTGAGGAGAGTATCTTCTGCTTTTTGGACAATTCTATTAGGATACCTTCCAGAGTCTGGTCACTGTTACCAGTAATCAAAGAGTAATCACCAGCTCCTTTGCAAAGTTGGTGCTACATCTCAAAGTCTCATCTTCAAACCTTTTCAACATCACTATGAATGAAGACCTCACTATGAAGTATTACCTCACAGTACAGCATTTTACTGAAAAAAATATGCAAAAACAAAAAACCCAACAACTCTACTTATCAGATTACAGAATCAGAAACACATAGTAAAACGTAAGAAGAGAGAGCTTTTAGGCCCTGGAACGTGTCCAGAGAAGGGCAATGAAACTGGTGAGGGGTCTGGAGCACAAGTCTTATGAGGAGCAGTTGTGGGTGCTGGGATTGTTTAGTCTGGAGGAGACCTTATTGCATTCTACAGCTTCCTGAAGGGAGGCTGTGATGAGGAGGGGTTTGGCCCCTTCTGCCAGGCAACAAACAGGACCTGAGAAAATGGCCACAAGTTGTACCAGAGCAGGTTTAGGTTGGACATAAGGAAGAACTTTTTCTCTCAGAGAGTGGCCAGGTGCTGGAATGGCTGCCCAGGGAGGTGGTGGAGTCGCTGTCCCTGGCAGTGTTCAAGAGGTGTCTGGATGAGGGGCTGTGAGATATGGTTTAGTGCTTGTGGTAGCAGTGGTGATGGGAGGATGGTTGGACTAGATGATATTGTAGGTCCTTTCCAATCTTGTGATTCTATGATTTTTTTATATGCTGAAACTTGAGACGACACCTCTGCTATATGCTTACAACACAAACATATCAGCTTCTATATCATAAGAGCTTCATTTGCTGGCTCCAGGTAAGGTGCTGAACACCTGACTGCTCTAGAAGTAAAAACAAATCAAGAGAAATTCTCATAGAGAACATGGTCATTCAGAAAAGGAGAGAAGGATGAAGATGTTGGAGAGCAAAGCAGGATAAGGATTACTCCACACTCCTCTGCAAGGTATTTTTATGATGGATAACTTTTGCAGTAAACCATGAAAAGATTCTGTTTTTAAATCCAAGAACTAAATGCCCCAAGTAATGAAAAATGGGGGTGTTATGTGTCCTACGTATTGCATTCTGAAAAACAAGAGATAAACCCTACTATCTCTTAGCAATAAAGAGCGAAACTTCCTTGCCCCCTCACCCATTTTAGGCAACATTCAAATGATAGAGTAGACAGTTTGGTCTCCTCACACATATTTTAAAAAGAGGCCTCCTCTGACATCAGACCAGTTTTGAATCTTTTGCAAGAAAAAACACCCAAGTTAAGTATGTAGGTTGCTCTGAAAGTAATGCCTCCAATTTATTTCAAAACAATCCAATAAACAAAGAAATAAAAACCCACCCTGCTCATTACAGGCAACCTACCTCAAGAGACGGCTTTTGTTATTTCTCATTTGGACAGGGGTTCTTCTGTGGAAAGCACAGAATACCCCTGGTATGGACAGAAAGCATAGCTACCAAGCTTGCATGGAGACCTTTTAATTACATTCTGGAATATTGGAGGGATGAACTCGTTACACAGCCGCAGAAATCCAAAGCGACTCCCTTCTTTACTCTGCACCATGCAAGAATTTGCAGACTGCTTGAATACCATGCGTGGTTTCAGTCAGCTGGGAACATCAGAAAGGATCCTTCATCTCCTTATAACCCAGGCACATACAACCTGCAGCCAGGCTGCATGCTGCCTGGTACGGCTCAAAATGCAGCTCGGCCCCATCCAGTGCCATCCCAGCAGCAGCTCTGCCCCTCCAGTACCCATCACTCAGCAACAACCAAACACCGGTGCGCTATTAACCCTAGCTGGGCTGAAACCATGGGATGGTGCAGTGCAGTGCAGTGCTAACTCAAGTTATGGCAACTAAGTTTATGGATTTTGAGGCACTGGCTGAACACTACGTCCTATGAACAGAAAAAAATACGCAGTGCTCTCTGGTTTGATTAAGGAATTTGAGAACAGGTTTCAAGACTGCCACAAAAATCATCAATTTTTTTTGTATATTTGTGACTCCATTTTCAGTCAACATAAATACATCAGCGGAATGTATAGATATACATTAACTACGTTATATATTTTATGGGGGTTGCTCCAAAAGTAATGCCCCCTATTTTATGATGTTAGCCCATGATGTCAGAGGCTGATGTTGGTGGTATGGCAGTAGAAACCAACGCTTTTGTGTTGGCAAAACAAGTGCAAAAGGGGATATAAATCCTTTTCCTCTATTTACAAGCTGTGCTTCTGATAGCACTGCCTATAATTGCCTTAACTCTTTGCTACCAAAGCATATTGCCAGTTGACTTTGAGCCTCCAGTCCCCAAAGACACCTTAGGTATTTCTCAGCAAGCTGCTCCCCAAGGCACTCAGTCCCCAGCCTGTATGAACAGGAGTGCTAGTCTGCCCCAAGTGCAGGACATCAGCACTATTCCCTGTGGAATTTCACAAGGTTCTTGTCAGTCCATTCCTTCCAGCAGTCAGAGAGCAGCCCCGCTCTTAAGCTCATTGGTAATGCAAACAAAACAATCCATTTCTTTCAAATGACTGCACTGCACAATTAACAGAATGTGGCTCTGCAGTTATGCCTTTAACGTGCAAAGTATTATCCCATTACAACATCATACCTGATACAGACATTAAACGGGGCAAATAGCATTCTAAAAATCTCAAACAAGAGCAGATACTTCACTGGATTTGCTGCACAGTGTTTTGTGACCATTGGTAGTCTTTCGTTATCTAACCAGAATAACTGATGCTAAGGTCCCTCTGCTAAGAACACAAACAAATAAACTAATTTTTGCAATCTGCATGAAGTTACTATCTTTTTCCCATAGAAATCACAGTGAGACCAGCAACGACATCAGTTAAAGGCCACAGAAGAGAAGTCCATATTGTATTTCATACAATACCCCATAAGCAAAGAACTCTAATAGCCAGTTTCAGGTCTGGCTTACCAACGTTTTTACTTACTTTGTAGTGAATACAAACACTCACATGACTAGGAGGCCCGTATTACACACTTCTACTGAAACAAAATACATACAGTACCTTGAAGGCTTTGTTTTTCTCTTCCTTTTGCTGTTTCTCCACTTCAACATGGCGTGCCAGGCGATCCAGGGTTGATGCAACTCTTTCTTTCTGATAGTCAATGTAATCCTTACGCTTAGTATTTCTCTACAATTGTAAAGTTAAAAATTGTGTTTGGTAACTGTTAAGCTAGTAAGAGGCATCAGTACAGTACAAAGCAATGCCTATTACGTTCATCAGGACATAATTCAGTACAGAAACTTTAACCTTAGGTTCCACAAGGTTTCAGAAGGGAGTGGGCCTGTACACATACAGAAGACCTGTCTTAAGACCCAGATTAACTGAGCAAATCTACTGCAACACTGTGTATCAGAGGCCAAGAAATGGCTGCTGCTGCCAAAACCAACTCCAGCAGTTCACTTTCAGGCACTGTCCCTCTCAAGGTCCCACAGAGTGAGCACAGTGCAGCTGGGGGACACACAGAATCATACATTTGCTCAGGTTGGAAAAGACCTTAAAGATCATCAAGTCCAACCACAACCTGACCAAAGTACCCTAACTCTAACAGCCCTCTGCTAAATCGTATCCCTGAGCAAATGAGCTGACAAGCCTGCTTCAGACTAAAATTCTTAGGAGAGTTTATGAAGAACAAAACTAAGTTAAAAGCAGGGTGACATCAGAGCAAGATCTCATGGCCTATACACTGCTCCTAAAAAAGACCTTCAAGAAGGAAAAGGTCTCAGAGCAGTCACATACATCTACAGGCTAGAGACTGGCATTTGACTTTATGTAACTTGTGAGGTCGCTGCAGAAGTGGTATTTTCCTCTCCTTTTCTTTGTGACACTTCTTAAAAGCACTGAAATACAAATAAACGCTCTAAGTTCACCTCAAGAAGGCAAGAATTGTCTCTAGAAAAAAATGAAGCATCAGCATATCTGCCCTACACTTAATATTAGGTTAATAAGCAAGCTAGTATTAAGAAGTCTTCTATTTCTCATCTCTTGTCAAAAAATGCCTCTAAGAACTTTTCCATGTAGGCAGCTGGTGGGAAATGAAATATGAGACTGTAATTATTATTATTTTTTCCCCTACTGCAAAGTCCTGAGATAAATCACAACATACTCACATGAGCATAAGAACTGCTGTTAGGTTCTTCATCATCGCTACTGACAAGATCAATGCATTCAAGTACAGGTCTTAAGGGTTCTTCCTGAAAGTGTTAAAAACACACACACACAAAAATATTAAATTGCACTCCTTGCAGGAGGAGTATTGCACACATTACAGCATGTTGTTAGCATTAACAATATCATAAGGGGAATTCTACCAACAAGGTTTCCAGAGGATATATTAGCACAATTCCTGAAGGGAACCTTAACAGACTTCTACAGGGAATTGGTAAAACATGCATGTATCATTTGTACAAACAAACATCAACTTATATACTAACGAGTAACGATATCAACGATGAAAAGTACAATAAACAACCTTAACTTTCTTTAATAACATTATACTCTTCCCGAACAATTTAAAATATACATTTCTAGTCAGAAATGCTCAACTTGTGCCATTATTTCCAACTGTAACAGGATATCAGATCATTACCAAGAAATGAAGAGTCAGATTTTACTAAGTACAGCCAAATGGTAGATTGTTTGTAGTTGTGTTTGTCTCACAAAGACAATTTTAATTTTAACTCCAAAGGAAATTCCTCAGGAATTTCAGACATGAAAGTGGGAGATAGTTTCATACATACTTACACCCTGAAGTCTACTCCTTTCTACACAGATATTCCACAAACATGTTATTTGTTCCATGTATAGCAGGGGGAAGTAACTTCATTTTAAAAGAAAACAGATTTCACTCAGCCAAACTAACACCACGTACTCAAAAGCACCAAGATGTGTTCAAATCATTTGCCTAGCATTCATTTACAAAGGCACGCAGCCAGGCAGGCTGGTTGGGATCCCAAGCAGCGACACGGGGCAAAAGGCCCTGGCTATCCAGTGCCTATCATGCCACCTCCATTCCTCCCAGCTAGGCAGTCCTATTCTCTTGCACATCTTGGTTCTTCCATCCCTCCATGCTGCTTCTCTGTAAGTCACTAAAATCTATAGGGTTTGCCTTAGAATGTTCTAAAGCCCGTTCTTAGTCTTCTGCTATCACTTCATAAGAGGTTTAATCTGTGTGAATATTGTCCAGATGAGCATCTTGAGAAACTTCACACAGGTTGCCTGTAACCTCAATGACCTGCTAGTCCAGACAATATCAATGCCTGATGATTTACAAGCCTTCAAATCCCTTCATTTTTACATTGCCTGGTGCTTCCATGTGTCCATACTCCCAATCACTCTCTATTCAGATCAATTTTAACATTTCTACTAGCAACTACAGGATAGATAGCAGAATGTTGGCACCTGTGTGAAAAATGAAGAAATCATACTTCCATGCTTAAACTAAATGATATTCTGAGGTCAGAAAAAATAAAATGAAACAAATAAGTAAGTTTTAAAAAGAAGACAGAAGATAATGTCTAGGGTTCCACGTGCATCCATTGTGACAAGCTTTCAACTCTTAAAGGCAAAAGAAGAAGGAAAAAAAGCACTATGTCCAGAGTCTGATGTCACACAGTAAACTGTACCAGGCTACAGCATTATCATGTGTCAACTAAACAATCAATGTAACAAATATGCAATCAGTAAGTAAGCTGACATACAGCAGATGGAAATACTCCTAGTTACTCTTGCATCCATGCTCACTGCCTGGGAACATATTCATCCTCCCTGGTAACTATGTTGGCCTTGTTTGTGTGACAAATACACACAAAGGGAAGCAAAGTTGAGTAAAAATCTCCATGCACTGCAAAAAGCTTCCCATCCAAATTTGACAACAGTCTTCTAGATTCTCAAAGATAATATCTAACCTCACAGTCAATAAACAAAACCAAACAAGTCTAAGCTTTTGTTGTGCAGCTGTGCTTTTAAGCCTGCACGTGCAACATCATCTATGTCATGTGACAGTGTGTGTCTGAACTGCAGTGCTATCATTTGTCTGGGAACACTGCCGGCAGGTGCCACAGAACTGTTATACACTCCAGAGCTATTCCTTATTTAAGTTTTCCAGGCAGAAGAAGGACTTGAGACAGCCAGCAACTTACTAACTTCTTGAAGAGGTGCAGCACTGTATCCACCACCTCTGTCATATATTTGGCAGTATCCTGAACATCTTAAAAACGGACCAAGTAGGGCAGGCTATGAAGATTTACTGCCTCGTGAGAAGTAGCAGAAAGAACTGCAGAAGCATGCAATTCTCTCTGCAGCGTTTACTGCACTTCATTCTTTCCATTCTTCCACCTTTCAAGGCCATAAAGCTGTTCAGCTTGCCAGCATAAACAGTCTTCACTCTATCACTAGGAATAATGAGGGATGAAACCTTGAACAGATGACAAAATTTGTATGAATTAAGCTACGTTACTTCAAAAGAGTGCTTAACTTTCTACAATTGAAAAAAAGAGAATCTGATCTCCCAAATCCAAAAAATCCATGATAGTTTTGCTATGGGAGAAATTGAGAGCCTCTATAAGCTGAATCCTTGTAAGAAACAACAGGCGCTAGCATGTGACAGTCCAGAGACACACTCAGACCACATTGACCACCTGATCAGTAAGAATCAGACATGAATATTTCGAAACATCCAACAGCTGTAGCTTCTTCAAGTGCAAAGGTTTTCCTCATTTCTGTGTACTCGATTCCCTTGGTTCAGTTCAGCAACAGGCTAATCAAAGAGTTATGAAACTGACAACTGGAAAGCAGAATTCTTACTCTACTTATTATGCCTGCATTCAAGGCTTGTGAACAGAAAAGTAAATTCCTTTAACTGTAAGTAGAATTTACTTGTTTAGTGTTGTTTTCATACGTGAAACATCCTTTTTTGCTGCTATATTTTCTACCTTCTACTAAACATTTACGAGCTAGTGGTTTGCATTCCAATTTGAACACAAATGCAATATGGCAAATTATTAACATGACTTCTCAAAGATATACATCCTCATTTTCCAACAAAAGAGGGGAAAACCACCTGCCCATATGCACGCTCGAATAACAATGCAAGTGTCAAATGCAGCAATTAGGCTCATTTGTGTTTTAATGGTTGGTCGCTTAGCTTCTGCATTAAGATGGAGAACAAACACTCAAGGGCAAAAGAAGCTACAATCTTGGGTCAGATCAACAACTCATCTGGGCCACAGCAGATATTTTGAGAAACAATCAGGGAAAACAGTAATTATTGTATCCCAAGTCCCAAGCTGGCAACTGCTGAAGTCAACACACCAGAACCCTGGACAAAATGCCATTGCTACAAGTCACAGCACTTGGTAGATCCATCCTAGTTGAGCGCCATGATGCAGAAGAACTCTGTTCCTCTACAGAGCCACTGGCTTCAGCATAAGCTGATCCCTACCGCTGCCAAGAAGCTGTCAATACCAGAAGGAAAACCAGAGGTCAAAACCTCTCACTTCAGTGGCCCAGAACTGAAACTATTTTCAAGGAGGGAAATCAAGTCTATCAACTCTTCTTCCCTCAAATGTTCAGCCCTCCTGAGAACTTTATGCAAGCAGTAGCTTCAGGTGGACTTTGTACATTTTTTAGCTTGTTTGGGGAATAGTGCCAGGTGAAATAATTTTTTTTACAGACACAGAGCATTTACTACTAGAAAACATTCCCAATTTAAACTCTGGTATCATGTGAAGGGAAAGGTCTGAACTGCAGGAATTTTGCTCTTGCTCTGTTGGCTCACCCCAGCAAATGGCAATCTCCAAAGAGAAAGTTAAGAGAATTACTTCATATTTTTTCCAACTGCTTTAAGCAGTAAGGCAGTGCAAAGACAGTGCCAACCTGAGGACTCTAAAGGAGAGTTAAGAAGCTGAGATTCAGCTAACTCCATCCAATTCCTTTTTACCTTCCCATGAGATTTTCTGGCAAGCAAGAGCCTGAGATTATAGTAGAAAAAATGTGGACAAGCACTCAAGAGCTAGAAATTGCAGCACCTCTAGCTGACCATACTGGCTATTTCCAGCTATTTGTCACCAAGACAGCCATCCATGCTTGGCACCCAGTCTTCATATCTTAAAAAACAGGTCTTTCACAATCTGTATTCATCAATGACAACAGCAGCCTACTTGTCCCAAGATGCCAGCCCTGTACAAATAAGGCTAAGCAGTCTTCTTGCCATAAGGTCAGCCTCTCTCGAATAAGTCAGCACAAAGGGTACAAGCCATCCACATGCAAAAACAAGAGGAAACAACAACAACAAAAACAAAAAAAACCTGTCGATTTTTGTTAGTCTTGCTTTCAGTTGGTGCTCTTGGTTCTCCACCAGCCCTCCCACACACCCACCCACACTTGACTGGTTATAAAAAGGACTTTCAGCTCATTGATCAATTTTCATCCAAAAAAGACAAGAGATACAAATGACTCAAAGAGAATCACAATCACTTAAAGTTTCAGGAAAAATACAAGTGTCCTTCATGCTTGAGCACCTTAAAACCCATGCAGAAAGGAAGTCTGTACACTGATTTAGACTTTAACTAACACCGTGTAACACAGGTAAAAAATCTATTGCCAGTTCTTTGAATTATTAAGGCCAAACCCACAGGAAGACAATCCCACAGGATTATCGATCTTGGCAGCAAATAACAATTGCTTTTCTATTGGCATGACTACCATTCTGGGGAAACCAATATTCTGTTCTTCCATATATGCCTGTCAGCCAGCACCATCTCACTGACAGTGGATGGAGGTCAGAACACTGGCAGCATGAAAAATATATATTTTCGTTGGATATTTAATAGCTGCAAGTATCTTAAGGTTATACTGATGCAAACCAGGTGCTGTATTGTAGCTACACAGTACTTCACAATTTGAGAAGACTGCTAAGGCCTCTAACCCATTACTTCCTGTCTCTTCCTGCAGTTCTGCTTTTGTAAAACCCCACATGAAGTACTGCATCCCCAGCACAAGAACGACATGGAGCTGTTGGAGCAGGTCCAGAAGGAGGCCACAAAGATGACCAGAGGCTGGAGCACCTCTCCTACAAGGAAAGGGTGAGGGAGCTGGTACTCTTCAACCTGGGGAAGGCTCCAAGGAGACCTTATAGCAGCCTTCCAGTAATGGAAAGGGGCCTACAGAAAAGCTGGGGAGGGGCTTTTTATAAGGGCAGGTAGCGACAGGACAAGAGGAAATGGTTTTATCTAGGTAGATTACAACTAGATATTAGGAAGAAATTCTTTACTGTTAGGGTGGTGAGACACTGGAAGAGGCTGCCCAGAGAGGTTGTGGATACCCCCTCCTCGGAAGCATTTAAGGCTGGGCTGGATGGGACTGCAAGCAACCTGGTCTAGAGGGAAAGAGGGAAGTGTGACTGCCTACAGCAAGGGATTGGAACTAGGTGATCTTAAAGGTCCCTTCCAACCCAAACCGCTCCACGATTGTATGTCTCTAAAGTGACTTGGATCTCATTTTGCAGAGTTTGCAGCAGCTTCATTTTATTAACTTCAGTGAGACTACTCACTGAACATTCAACAAAACATTGTGTGATTGCTGAAAAAGTCATCTATGATGACGACAAATGGATGACCTCATACATCCCATTGATCACTCTGCATCTCCACTTGCTGCTTCATGGAACCAAGTGACATCACCTGTTGTTTTCACAATGCAATGGCCAAAAGCCCCTTTAAAATAAACGTGGACAGTGACAGGACAAGGGGGAATGGTCTGAAACTGAGACAGGGGAGGTTTAGGTTAGATATTAAGAGGAAGTTTTTCACGCAGAGGGTGATGATACACTGAAACAGGTTGCCCAAAGAGGCTGTTTGCCCCATCCCTAGCAGCATTTAAGGCCAGGTTGCATATAGCTCTGGGCAGCCTGGTCTGGTGGTTAGCAACCCTGCACGTAGCAGGGGGGTTGAAACTAGATGATCATTGTGGTCCTTTTCAACCCAGACCATTCTATGACTCCACGACAAATTTGTTACCTGCCACAAACATTTCCAAACAAAACCATCTTTAAAGCCAACACCAAAGCCCCAAGGATTTCCAAATGAAATAATCTTTAAATCTGAAAACTGAAGTGTTCTTTTGAGATAAAATCAAGGCCACGAACACAGTATTCAGAGACCTGCTCCCATTTGGTCACGCTGCTGAGAACACAGTACAGCAGGCAGCACATTTCCACGTTCCAGATGTACTTACTCCAACAAACTCTATCTCATCTTCACTTTCAGAAGTCGTCGATTTGCTCTCAGAAATGCTGGTAGAGCTGCAAGACTCCATTACCTAAAGAAACAAACCAAAACGCGCCTCATCATTTTATGAGGTTTGCTTTAATTTCACTTTTTCAGCTCCCTGTCTACTTCGGGCTCGCAGCCCGCTTCCACCCAACAGGCCTCTCCGTACCACTCAGCGTCCATCTCCAGCATTACCAGCAAGATCTCAATTCTGACCCGCACCGCCTCCCCCCGCCCCCAGAGCAGCACGCAAACCGCGGCCTAACCCAGCAGGCCGCACCGCCCGCCTTCCCGCCGCAGCCACGCTCCCCCCCGCCCAGCGGCACGCTCCGCTCCGCACAGCGCCACTGCGCGCTGCCCCGCGGCCACCCACCGCCCCTTCCCGCCGCTTCCTCTTCCCCTCGGGGCGGCTGCGACGGGAGCGGCTTGCCGGGACTTGTAGTTGCCGCCCGCTTCGCCCCGCTCCCCCTCCCCACGGCAGGTGCTACCGCCACGGCTCCTCCCTTCCCGGCACCCTTCCCTGCACAAGCTCCATATCCCGCGCGCTCCTCCCTCAGCTCGCCTGAGCGCAGTTCCTGTGCGGAGCGGCGAAACGCGCACGACGCTTCCGGAGGGGGCCGAGCACGACGAAGGGCCGCTCGGGCGGGCGGGGGCGGCGGCGCGGCGGGGCCATGAGCGCCGCGTTGTGGTGGCTGCGAGGCCGCTGCCGGCCCGGGTGAGGCGGCTCGGCCCGCCGTTGGGCCGGCTTGGCTGTTCCTATCGGCCCGCGCTCCGCCGGGAGGCTCGCGGCGCGTCGTTGTGCTGGCAGGCACCACCGCTGCCCCCGTTAGGAACGGTTCTCTGCAGCTCGGAAAGCAAATGGTATCTTGGGCTCCATCAGAAGAGGGGTGGCCAGCAGGGCCAGGGAGGTGATTGTCCCCCTCTACTCTGCTCTTGTGAGGCCCCATCTGGAGTACTGTGTCCAGTCCTGGAGCCCCCAGTACAAGAAAGACAGGGAGCTGTTGGAGAGGGTCCAGAGGAGAGCCACGAAGATGATCAGGGGACTGGAGCACCTCCCCTATGAAGACAGGCTGAGGGAGCTGGGCTTGTTCAGCCTGGAGAAAAGAAGGCTGCGGGGTGACCTCATTGCAGCCTTTCAGTACTTAAAGGGAGCCTACAGACAGGAGGGGAATCAACTCTTTGAAAGGGTAGATAAAAACAGGACAAGGGGAAATGGTTTGAAATTGAGGGAGGGAAGATTGAGGTTGGATGTCAGGGGAAAGCTCTTTACTATGAGAGTGGTGAGGTGCTGGAACAGGCTGCCCAGAGAGGTTGTGGATGCCCATCCCTGGAGGTGTTCAAGGCCAGCTTGGATGGGGCCCTGGGCAGCCTGGTCCAGTGTTAAATGGAGAGGTTGGTGGCCCTGCATGTGGCAGGGGGGTTGGAGTTTCATGATCCTTGAGGTCCCTTCCAACTCTGTCCATTCTGTGATTCTGTGATTTTGTGACTCTGAGAGGATGAAGCGCTGGCATGGCGGGGCTCTGGGGCTCCCTCCTCCAGTCCTGGAGATGCCATATGTCAGTCCAGTCATGGTAAGTGGTGGAAGCGGTGTTAATCTGCACACTGCACCTCTGGGAGCTTCCTGAAGTGTTGGTGTGCTTGGAGCTCCGTGCGCTTGTCCAGAAGGCATACCTGGTGAAAGCCTAAAAACTAGACCTTCTGGGGCACGCAGAAAGGCTCACAAATGAAGTATGTCGCTCTGGTGCTCTGTAACCTTTCCTTTAAAATCTGAGCGCCTTGGCTGGGTTTGTCAGGATGCGCTGCAGCAGCTGGGGTGGGAGCAGCCTGTAGGCTTTTGGGATGTCTGTGGTAGGCTCTGCTGCTGAAAAATGACCAGAAATGCCCTTGTGAGCATTAATGAATTAAATGCTGGTTTTTGAACACCTGTAATTTGACAATGATATCCCCAAATAAATGCAGCTAAAACTTGTTTGTGTTCTTTCCAACTTGCTTTCTGCCTTTTAGGTGTGCAACTGTATCTGCTCTTCCTTTCCTCCTTCACTCTATGGTTACTTTGAGCTACCCAGAGTAAAAATTGGTATGAATGACCTTTGTTCAATGCACTGCCTTGGAGTAAACTGACGTGAGCAATATCACCTTGTGTGTCTACAGAACTCGCTGCACACAGAAACTCTGCCAGTACTTGTTAAATTCTGTATACAGAGGAGGGAAAGAATTCAGGGTAGTATATTAATGCTTGGTGTTCTGGGAGCTTTGTGAAGAAATAATACATCACATGGTACTTAATGTCAGCATTAATGTAGTGCACTTTTAAAAAGTTACTACAACATTGAAGCTTCATTTCATGTATCATTGGAAGCACAGCTTTATGACAGGAGATGGACACAATGAAAAGAGAAGTCTGTGAGGGCATACTCTCCCTAGTGAGCAACACAGACTAGTAATAACAAACAAAGAGAAGGCTGAGGTTTTCATCACCTTTTTTTGCCTCAGTTTTCAGTAGCATCTGCTCTACACACAAGCAACTGCTTTACCCTTGAATAAGTGGTTCAGAAGGTAGGAACTGGGGGAGCAGTGTCCTGCTGTAAGCGAATATCGGGTTCACAACTGCCTGAGGAACCTGAACATCCATAAATCTATGGGTCCCAATGAGATGTATCCCAAAGACCTGAGGGAATTGGCTGATGTTGTTGCCAAGCCACTCTCGATGATATTTGAAAAGTCATGGTGGTCAGGTGAAGTCATGAGGACTGGAAGAAAGGCAAAATCTCGCCCATTTTTAAGAAGGATAGAAAGGATGACTCAGGGAACTACCGATCTATTATCCTCACGTTGGTGCTGGGGAAGATCATGGAGCAGATCCTCCTGGAAGCTATGCTAATGAACATGGAAGAAAGTGAGGTGATACGGGGTAACCAGCATGGCTTCACCAACAGCAGGTCCTATCTGACCAAACTTGTTGCTTTTTATGATGGTGTGACTCTGCCAGTGGACAAGGGAAGAGATGCTGATGTAATCTATCCGAACCTCACTGGGTTCAGTGACTCATTGTGGCCTTTGAACTCAAGTGGCCTTGGGTTCAGTAACTCATAATATCCTTCTCTTCAAGTTGGAAAGATATGGATTTGATGGGTGGACTGCATAATGGATGAGGAACTGGTTGTAAGAGCATACCCAGAGAGTGGTGGTCAGTGTCTCAATGTCTCGATGGACACTGGTGACGAGTGGTGTCCTTCAGGGGTCAGCACTGGGACCAGTGCTCTTTCATGTCTTCACAAATGACAACAGTGGGATTGAGTGCACCCTCAGCAAGTTTGCAAATGACATCAGCGTGTGTGGTGTGGTTGACACATCCGAGGGTTGGGATGCCACTCATAGAGACGTAGACAGGCTCAAAGCAGTGAGCCCAGGAGAACCTCCTGAGGTTCAATAAATCTAAGTGCAGGATCCTGCAACTGGGTTGTAGCTATCAGTACAAGCTGGGGGATGTAAGGATGGTGCAGTGCTCTGCTGAAAAGGACCTGGGGATACTGGTGGATGTGAAGCTGGAAATGAGCCAGCAATGTGCTCTTGTAGCCCAGAAAGCCAATTGTATCCTGGGCTGCATCAAAAGAAGTGTGGCCAGCAGGATGTGGGAAGTGATCCTGCCCTTCTACTCTGCACTGGTGAGGACTCACCTGGAGTGCTGCATCCAGATGTGGAGTCCTCAGCACAGGAGAAACATGGGCCTGTTGGAGCGTATCCAGAGGAGGGCCACAAAAATGATCCAAGGGATGGAACAGCTCTCCTGTGAGTACAGGCTGATGGAGTGGGGGCTGTTCAGCCTGGAGAAGGCTCCAGGGAGATCTGATAGCAACCCTTCAGTATCTAAAGGTGGCCTTTAAGAGGGAAGGCAACAGACTCTTTAGCAGAGTATGTTGTGATAGGACAAGGGGAAATGTTTTCAAACTAAAAAAAGGGAGATTTAGATTGGATTAAGGAAGAAGTATTTATGATCAAGGGTGGTGAGGGACTGAAACAGGTTGCCCAGAAATGCCCCATTCCTGAAGACATTCAAGGTCAGGCTGGACAAGGCTCCGAGCAACCTGATCTAGCTGTAGGTGTCCCTGTTCACTGCATGGGAGTTTGACTAGATGACCTTTAAAGGTCGCTTTCAATTCAAAAGATTCTATGAATCTGTATTTCTAAATTCACACAATGGCTATTATTAATGACTTATTTTTTTTCTGTCTATTTCTGGATTTGCTGTTCTGTGAACTCAAAATTATCCGTCCCTATAAGAAATGATCCATGTGTTTTTTCCTGTTTGACTGCTGATTATAACATACTAGTTAAGGAATTTAACAACTTAATAACTGTTGTAGGGCTATATAAACACTGATTTGGTGAGTTTTATTTCATTATTAAAGTAACAGAAAAACGACTGCTACTTCGAACATTAAAGTCTTGTTGATGCCCTGACTTTCATGTATTGCATTTCTAACTTCAGTGTGCTAATAGGTAGTTGGTAGCAGCCACTTTAATTGTAGCTTGCATTTGCACTTAATTACTTTTTATTTATGATATAGATATTGCAAAGTGCAGTAATAGTGAGTTACTAGAAGAACAAGGTGGCAGAATTTTTTCAAACTGATACGCTATGACAATGACTCTCATTTGAATATGAACTTTTCAGCAATAGCTCATGTGAATGAAGTGTACTTGCTTTTGCAGACCATCCAAACATCCTCTAGGTATGCAAAGAACTAAGGAAAAAAGGAATAGTATTAGAACTGATACATGCAATAATGTCAGCTTTTACAGCATGCCAACAAAACTTTGATTCAAAACCTTCAGTATTTGAGGTAATTATTGGGAAAGCACAGGCTTCCTGGTTTGGGTGATTTTTTTGGGTGGTTTGGGTGGTTTTAGTAGATTACCCAAGGTGGCATGAGACAAACCTAGGAAAGTGCAGCTACTCCTGGTCTGCTGCTGCTGAGCTAAAATCCCCACATCCAAACCTCCAAACAAAGTTGGGATTACAGAGGATGTGGAAGCTGTTCCTGAGCAGACCTTCTCAGAGATTCAGTAATATTCTCTGGCAACCACATACTTATTATATGCTTTGAAAATCATCGCTTTCTTTCATAGCATTTAAACATTTGAATTTCTATGTTTCTTTCCTTGGTCCTTAAAATGGAACACTGTCTTTTTAATCACTGATTTCCCTCCAGCATTAACACTGCATAGTGCCATTTACTCTTCATCTGTAAAATATTGACGTATTTTTTCTGAATCCTACCTATATACCATAGTAGGAGAGGATATGAACTTGACATGTATGAAAACCACTGAGAACACTGCTTATTCTCTACTGTATTTTTAAAGTGAGGTTTTTACTCAATTCTTTGCATATTGTAGCATCTTCCCTCTTTAGAGAAGAGGTAGGTGCTCTTAATAAGCAATTTGTAACCTACAGTGGTCCACTTTTCTATTGTAATCTTCAAATTCAATCTCAAACGCAGTAATAAAAGCAAATAGTTCAAGTGACTGTTCTTAGCGTTGCTTATTTTCAGTACCGAATCTCCAGTCGTCTCTCTAAATGCTATGCAGTCGTATTGCTTTATGCTTTCCTGCAGTGGCTGTCAGCCTTCTCTGGTGCTGAGTAATGAAGATAATGTGTCCTCTCTCTGCATATCAGAATTTTACACTGTGTGACATGACACATACACACACTGCCAATTAGTTTTGATTTTACTGCAAAATTTGGGAGCAGTATTCAACTTTCAAGTATTCTGCTTTCTCCTCTCCTGTTACTTCTATAGTTTCTAAGCTGTAATTATTTAGTCTTCAATTTTGTGTCTTCTGAGTTTGTCCATGCTATTTTGGAAGACCAGTCATACTTTCTTCCTTTGCAATCATCTTGTACCAAGTGCAGCTTTTCTGTTACTTGGGTAGAAGCTGTTTATCTTGTTTTATGCCATAGGATAACGTCAGTCATATACTTCAGGGAAGAGAGAGGAAGGGACTCTTCACATCATCCTCCCTATTTACCTTTGGTTTTAAAAAAAGAACTAAGATGTAGTAATGTTTCATTTTATTTGATAGAAATCTGCTTCAAAAATATGATTAATTATATACATTCTTGTATGCTGTATATACAGATACATATACAAAATATATATAATAGCAAACATCCTCCAGTTACATTTGATGCATGGCAGTGAGGTGGAATTTACATCACATTGTCCTATTTGCTTTCATCTTAATCCTATTTACAAGGAATTGGTAGACATGAGAGCTGAATGAGGCTAGTAGATCACTTTAGTTATCCCCCATCCCATCCAGAAGTCTTCTCTACAGTGTATTTTATTAGTGCATTGTTCTGATAAAGGAAGGTTTGCAGCACTTCTCTTCAGAGGTATTCAGTTGCTAACCTTACCTTCTGATTTTTTCCTTGCATTCACCCTTCTACTGTTTCTAGTTCTAGAAGTCCTCAGATGAAGTTAGTCATGTTATTTTTGTTTTGTTTTTGTTTTTTTTTTCCATCTTGATTCATTAATTGCATGTTTGCCAAGTATGAAATAGATTTAACTGTTAGTACTCTCTGTTCTGAAAGAAATACCCTCAAGTGTGAAAGTTATAATCCAAGTGTTCTCTCTTTCCCACACTACAGAACTGGAATCAGTCCACAGAGGAAAAAAAAAAGTACCATTCCTCATCCTTCTCAGGCAATTACAGGGTGCATGACTGCTAGTTTTGCCCCTGGGACAATGATGTCAGAGCTCAAGAGGAACTACCCAGCTGATGGAGGACTTCTGGTGCCAACCCCGTGAGGAACAAGCTCTACCTCTCCACCTACTCTTTAATTGAACAGCAGCGTACCAAAAATCTAGACATACAGAGGAAGAGCTGGCAGCTCTGTCCTTTACTAGCTGCTTTCCAGAGATTATCTTTGATTTTCTGGCTGGGAAACTTCCATTTTCTGGGGTAACTGTTACCTTTATCTTCTGGACCCAGAGGCCAGGGAAGAGAGAATGAGAGCTGCCAAACCAAAGCATCAGCATCAAAAAGCCTATGAGGGAAGCCATGGCCTCCACAACCCAGCCAAGCTATCCTAGGGCATTCTTTCCTGAGCTAAGAAAGAATGAGGTTTCTTTCATTGCCTTTCCAACTTCTGTAGGTTAAAAATGAGCTGTTTCTTTCTTGCAGACATCTCAGGAAGTATAGTTTCACTGCCCTGAGATTTTTTGTTCCTTCTAAGTTAACAGCATCCTCAAATATAAATTTCCTTTCATACTTCTGTATCTCTTTTGTATCAACATGTAATAGCTTTTTCTGCTCAGTAAAGCAATTTTCCATCAGCTGTTAAGGTGAAAGCAAGAGCATTAAGGATCCTCTTACAAATTCTGTTGGTGTTACTTTAAATGACGTGGTGTTTTTCTAACTAAGGGGAGCAGTTCCTGTATTCTTTGGATCAAGTTTATATATCTTTGAATTACAGTATAACATGCATTTATTTAATAATATCTTAAAGCCAAATATATTAATATGCCTTCATTTTTCCTAAGCTGAGGGATTTTCACTTGAGGAATTGCTCCCAAGCTTCTACTCTGCTTGCAGTATCTCTGTACAATGGTGCTAGGCCCAATAAATATTATTTCATTTTAATTTTATATTATTCCTTCATCTCCAACGGGAACTTGAGCTGGCATGAAGTACATTGTTATTCCTTGTCGGAATTCCTGAGATCCTGTCCACAACCCTGGTTGGCAGAGGGCGCTTGTGAGCTTCTGGAGAGATGAGACTCCACCTCAGAAGTAGGTTTGAAACGCTCCTGCTCACCTTGGCTGCTGAAAGGTGGAGGAGTCAGATGGCTGTGGCTCTGCTGAATTTGTGCATTAGCAGCTGTTGTATCATCATCCTGCTGGTCTTGCGTGCTGGGAGGAGCAGCCAAAGGGATGATGCCCTGAGGAGCAGCTGCTGAACCACTGTCAAGACAGTTTATAACTGAGTGTGCAATGTTAACATTACATGTGCAATTACTACTGTTCCTAGTTTCCAAGCAGCAGAGTTTATTAGCTAGTTAACTAGTTTTCTGCACTCACACATTCCCTTTTTCATTATTTCACCTCAGCCTAATGGATGTGAGACTACAGCAGCCTGTCTCAGACCTTAATCCAAATTCCTAACTGTACGCTGGAGAAAGGTGAACAGGGAATGAGGAGATCATAACTGCAGTATCACCAGTTTGATAGTTTATAACCAATTTGTTATTAACTTTAAGTTGTGACTAAGGCCCTGCACAGTAGGATTTTTTTCTTGAAGTGAATCAAAGCGGAACTTTGAAACTGTGAGCACTTAAATTTTCATGATTTTCCTACAGAAAAAATGTGTGCTGCCTGAGTTAAATGAAACACCACCATTACCCTGGAGATGATCGGTTACACAGTATTTAAATGCCTTTAGAGTGAAGAAATTCTGAACAGGTGTAAAATTAAACCATTACAAACAAATTCTAAAATGCATCCATTCAAGAGAGACTACGCAGACAGTATTTGCCTTGATGTCAGTGGATACTGGCATGAACAAACAATAGACAAACACATTTTTATTTCAAGATATCAAGTTTAAGTTGGAAGGTCTTCAGGCAGCATTAAAAAGCAAGTCAGAACTGTATCTGTGCTAGCACAGGACCCTCCTGCCAGGACTCCAGGAATACTGGGCCTGTGCAGCATGGGAAGACATGAGAACTCACAACGTACAAATACAAATGTAACGTATTTAGCATTTAATTTTTTCAGATTAGACTAAACCTGTCCTTCTATACAGTCATTTTTATCTTCTGGGTCAAGGAGAAGGAAGAGCACTACAGTGAATCAAGGCACTCTATATGTTACAAATACAGAGGACCTTTGTTTTATGAGGGGTAGGAGAAAAACATTAACACTGTAAACTGTATTCTAGGTAGGCTGGTACATTTGTTTACTGTTTCCAGATGAGGAAATGTGTGTGCGTGCATTCTTTCAATATATATTATCTGAGTATTTCTCAAAGAGTAATTCATAGACATCTGGTGGTCCATGAAGAAGGGGGTTTAGAGAGGAATTTTAATAGTAAAGCACTGCTGCTTTTCAAACAATGGTGTTTGTATCATAGTCAAATATCTTCAGTTTTGTTTCATAGTAAATTATAGTTGTAAATATGTATTTGAAACATGCACACTATAACTAAATCATAAAGAAACAATGTTTTACATGGAAAGTCTAAGAACAAGTCTGTTCTCCCTGTCTGACTGATTCTAATCTCTTATATTGTTCCTCCCATCATTCCCAGAAGAGCTATCTATACTCTTCTGGAGGGTGGGAGGGGGATGGTGTATGCATAGTATATGTATACATACAATCTAATACATACGGGATATTTTTCTCTACAGGGGCTTCAGATGTGTCTGCACACTCTCACCAAATAAGGTTTATGTTACAAAGGCTTATAGACAACTTGAACTTACGAACATTTTTCCACTGTGAGGGGTAACTGAGCACTGGCACAGGTTGCCTGGAGAGATGGGGAGCACTGTCCTTGGGTATATTCAAAGCCCAGCTGAAGACAGCTCTGAGAAATATGGTCTAAGTAATCCTGCTTTGAACAGCAGGGGTTTGAACAGACAAACTCCAGATGTCCTTCTCAACCCCAACTGTTGTGATACATATGTTTCATTCATATGGAAACTGTACTTTACAAATAGCTGATTGACAATAGGGATGAATTCAGCAATTTTCAATTAGTCTTGTTCACAGGGTTAAATATGCCTATAGTAAGAAAGATGTTAATAATTTCTTACTTTGATAATTTAAACTTTTCTGTTGGTAAAAAAATGTTAGTTCAGCTCTCCTACAGTAATTTTATCAGCAGGTGCTAAACAGGTAACTATTTTCTCTATCTTTACTTGTAGGTTAATTAAGGCACAACAGTTGTCATGAAAATGGCATTGCCTGGTCTATGAAGAGTCCACAGAAAATGAACAGAAAGGCAGGTAATGGTAAATCTGAAACAAACATTGATCAAAGTAACGCCATGCATTTACTTCTGTCTTCTCCTGTAGACAGAATGCTGTATGTAGAATGAACAACCTTTCTGTGCTGTAATGCCATGCTGCACTGTTTTAGAATTATGTACTCTTTGATCAAGGTTATAAAAATATTAACCTATTTGGCAATGCATATGTGAACATGTATCTTCATGACAAATTTAAGATTGCTTTTAGTTTTTGTTATTACAGGGCAGTACATGGAATTCCACATTGCAGGCTACAGTACATATAAAAGACTTACCAAAAACCATGCTTCTGAAAAGCACCTGAGTTAAGATCTTTGCTTAAAATTGGCTTCTTGGTGCAATTGTTCAGTTTTTGTCCCATCATCCGCCTAATTAAAGCATCATCTGTGTTTGGAAACAACTGTTTTGTAATTCCTGCAAAATAAGTAAAGAGATGGCATATATGAGTCCACCAAAACAGGGAAGCCACAGATCCATGGTCTAAAATGCACTTATTGCATCTTTGAAATTTCTAGGTACTTCAGCTTCAGCTGCAGTTACTTTTCTGTCTTTATTCACTACTTCATCTACTTTGCTTTTCTGTCTGCCTTGCATAATTCTGTGCTTGTTCTTGGCTTGGAACAAGAGCTTCCAGCATAATTGTGCTCATTCTCTCTCCTCTGCTTTGTTTTCATCAGAGACCTATTCCTATCCATGCAAGTTCTCACTCCTTTGAATCTTACAGGTTTTGTTCATTAATTTTGCATTTGCAGATAATGCCTCCTTCCCGCAATTTTCCCTTCTATTTTTCATCTAACTTTTTTGAGTGCAGCACTAACAGGACTTAACATCAGCAATTCATGAAGTTCCTTCATCATCCTCACTTCCCTTGATTTTTTTTCCTCCTCTTTCATTTCATAGAATTCCCAGAAATACTTTTCTTTCTTCTCCTCCTCCTAATGTTGACACTTTTCTTTTGAAAATTTTGAATTCAGGAACGTTCTCATTTCTCTTAACAAACTTGACTTCTCAGGCCCCCCTCATCACTGAATTCTGTACAGGATGCAGTATTCAGTGTTCTGATTGTCTTCCCTGCTTCCTTGTTCAGTTTTGCCCAGCTCTTTCCCTTTAGAAAAGTTACCAGTAGATCTTCCCAGTAAATCTTACTCATTTTTCTTATGCTGCACTCTGAAATTGTCTCATCTTACCTCCTCTAAATTTTCACTATTTTATACACTCCTTACTTCCCTGTTCTACTTTTAGGCCTCTTTTTCTGGGTATATTTTCAAGGAAAAGTGGCTTACACAACTGTATCATCAGTATCCTATTGGTAACTTTTGAAACTGCCAGCCAACTTGAACAAAACTGGACAAAGGTACAGGAAATGAAGACAAACTGGGAAGGGAACTGAGTGAACTGGCATAGTCTGAGGGAATTACCATGATGGAGGGATTCTGGTACAGGAATTTGCACTATGTTGTTAAAGTATTAAGCTACAGGTGTGTATCCAGTAAAAATCAAATTTCATGTGCTCCCCAAACACTGTTTTCTTTAAATCAGCTAGCTGCATCTGAACTGGTTGTCTATCCTATTCACCAAACATTTTCTGCCTTGAATCACAGCATAAAACTAACTTTGCTTGCTTCTTTGATCCCTGTTCCTGTCTCCCATACTTAGTATCTCATTTTGCCTCAAGCAGTATTTAAAAATGTCAAAATGTTTAATGTTCGCTAACTTCAGAATTGAGCAGACATTGTTTTAAATTTGATCCGAGTGTCTTCTGTTTGCCTTCCATTTTCTTTACCTGCTATTGCCACGGTCCAAGTTCAACCATTGCACATTAGCCATTTAAAATCTAAAAAGTGATAATATCACTGTTCCTGAGTAGTCACAACACAAAATCCACACAACAGAAGTACAACTACTTAGCATTTCACTGACAGAGTTCCTAACAGATGGACTAAACAAAAACCAAAAACATGGAGACAGAGAAGGAAATGTAAAACAACACATAACCTGAGTAGAACAGCTGTTTAGTATTAGTGCCCCTCCGTCAGAGACAGCCCTCTGTCAAATCAGTGCCATATTGAGTAACGTTAACAAGTTATCACCTATGATTTCCTGAACTTCATTCTGATTCATAGCTGGTTTCGCTGCTTTATCCTTTGAAGAGGATGACTTTGCACCTGTCAGGCTGTGTGTAGCCATGTACTCATGCGTATAAAGTGCTTGCATCAAGTCGTTTATAAACTTTTGAGGTTTGCTCTTGTTACAAAGTGCAATCTGCCACTTCTCAATCTTGAACTGGAAAACAAAATTGGTCATTGACATAACTGTTGCAGTTCACTTCAAATTATATACAGTATTGTCTTTTTTATTTTTTGAAAGTGTACTTTTTTTCTTTTACCACGGTTTCAAAAGTAATTCCTCCACAAACTGCGATTGAGGTTGATTTTTAAACTTGCACACCATTCAGTGTCTGGAGCTGTACACAAGTATAGATGCTTTTTTCAGAAGCAAGCATGTGCCAGACCAAAGATCCCTATACATAATAGCAAGCAGTTCATCAAGCAGCCCTTATTACTCACTGGTGGAGACAGGACATTTTCAGACATATCTAAATCCTTCTGTTTGCACTCCATGCAGCCTGGATGTGATCCAGTTCTGGCATGCAATCTGTACAGCTTTGGGAGCATGGCACTATGCCCAACTAATATTTCTGCCTCTGAGTAGACATGCCCTAAGAACTGTGACATCTGGTCCCAGGCTTTGAGAGTCATTTCTGCACACCACAGATGTACAGAAAATATTTGAAATCTCTAATGTGCAATTTTGAATCACTTCTATCAAGGCAAGTCTAGGTTGCTTAGAAAATCTACATCTTTTCAGAGATCAGATTTTGTATCTTGCAGTATATAACTGAAGCATGATACCTTGATAATTCTTAACAGATTTCACTGTTTTTTGGTACCCCACTAACTATTCTTTCTCGAGTCTTTATTCTTTACAGCCTCTGAGGCTCAGAGCTCTCAGCTATGCTTTATTACCATCAGGGAGAACTGATGAACAGCCTTATCCAGTAACTATATTTATATATCTGTATTTCTACTTAACTGTCTGGAACAAAAGTAGTAACATAAAAGTCTCTATTTACTTATTAACACTTCTGACAAATTGCTGGCATTGTTCTTAAGACTATCTCTGAAACACTTCTGTTCCTCTTTGGAATCCAAAACTTTAGGCAGGAAGTTATCTCTGGATCTCAGTATTTAATTCATGCATCAACATTCTGCCCTTAGTTACAGACACAGAAAGCCTCTGACATCAGTTTGAGAGCGTACCAGCATGCTGAACTAAGTCCAGTGTTTTTCATGTAAAGAACCAGCAGTACAAAAGGAACATGATGATAAAATGACGTTTACTGACGCTTAATTTCATTATACTGCAACAATAAAGTTTGTAGGGTATTGAGATTCATTTTTTTATGCTTGAAATCGCCTTCTACCTGTTTTTCAGTTGGTTGCTCCTCATCTTCCACATTCAAAGATATTGGTGAGCTGGAGTTACTATGCATAGCTGCATACACATCTGCTAAAGAGTTGTTAGATGCTTTCCAAACAGCATGGGAATGAAGACTGGATGTAGACGTTGTCACTCCCCCTTTGAGCAATGCTTCAGCCATCCCTACCAGTTCCTCAAAATGAGTGACTGCCTGTGGCAACACTGAAATTAAATCAAAAGTGATGGATAAAACGATAATTAAAGCTTTCAGACTCATTACATAAGCATATGTATTTTTGTGGTTAGATTCCTGTCATACTGCAAAAAGAGGCCAAGTGGTCAGCAATGATGCTTTAGCACACTCTGTTTCTATTCTCTCAAACACTTTCATTTGTTCTGCTGTCCCCATCCAGGAAGATCTGGCCTCTGCTTTTGGAACATGTAGACCAGCTCTCTGCACCGCTGAGAAGAATCATTAGTTCATGCCCATTGGGGCACTAACCTTGCTATTTCTTTTCTGGGTTTCTTTTTTTTTTGGCTTGTTTCAAAGCAGTTTCACAACTCCATAGTCTTTTTTCTTGTTTCTTTTCTTTTTTTTTTTTTAGTTTATAGAAGATACATTTTGCATGTTCTTTCTCTGAACAATATTTACTTTCACATACAAAGTTTTATTTAGTCATCAATAATCAGTTCAGCAGAATAAAAAGGATGCAAGGGGTAAAAAAATCACTAAATTATTAGAAAACAGCGTAAAAGATTGATAGAATTGCACAGGATGCAAGAGAAACGAGCCTAAATGTGTAAGGAAAGTTGTCAGACTAACGAAAAGTTTAAAAATAACATTCAGAAAGGTGGAGATGAATGATTCGTGTCAAGGTGAATAACAAGCAATAGAGTTAGATGGTCAAAGAAACTGGTAAGTGCTTGCAAAATTGTATGAAAGAAACATTAGGCAGTCTAAGGATGCTGTAAGGAAGCTGACAAGGGGAGCAGCAAGTCTTTCAACCTTATTCCTCCACTAATGTATTGAAATGTCAGATCCTGTTTCGGCTGCTCCAGAGTAGGGGACAAGAAGAAGTAAGAGGGACTTCAGAAATGACCATGATTAAAAAAAAAATAGATGTAAAAATATTTTGGAAAAGGACTAAAATTTTGTACCAAAATGAGTTCAGATTCTCAGTAATGAGGAATTTCTAAAATAATTAGAAATTAAATCATTCCAGAACAAAGAAAATCTCAGTTGATCAAGAAAAACTCTTAAGCTCAAAAAGCTTAAAAATCAGTGTATGTTGTATTGGTCAGTGGAGTATTTAAGCTAAGCTGATGGTTATATATGGCATACAGACAGATTTCTTCAAAACAACCAACAGGAGTTACGTTTTTCCATTTCTAATTATGATCTCATGGCCTCCACAGAAGACAGGTTTTTTTTGTTTTTCAAATCCAGTGCTGCTGGAATTAAATGTTCCTATGTATTAAAGACTTTGGTGCTGACAGTAGACCTTGATCACATCAAGTGCTCGAGCATCCACAATTTCCCTTCAGACAGTCTCCTATAAATCAAGCTTTTCATGACCTCCAGGTTTCCCTTTTCATCACACAGTTCCCCTGATTGTACCTTGAAGCATCACCAGGGACTGCCTCAGGCGGCAGTTTTCTCTCATGGTGTCTGTCAGCTTCCTCTTGAGACTTTTTATTTTGGCACACAGTTCCACCTTGGATAATTGAAATAAAGGCTCTTCATCATCACTGCTGCTTTCACTGCATAGAAAGTTGCTTCCTGAATATGGTTCTCTCTGAAAAAAAACACCAAAACAAACACAAAACAATAAATAAATTTTAAAAAACCCCAAAACTTAGTGCTATCTACATACATAAAACAACATAATAGCAACAACATAAAACATTAAACCTAATTTCAAATATAAATTAAAATATTCTCTTCATACACAGAATGTATAAGCAGTCTTGGTGCATTATAATAATACTTCTCACAGAATATAAATATTACCATTGCTATTAATATTCAAAATGAAAGGTTAAAATAAAACATAACTGCTAGGTATTATTCTCTGTTCCCCATTCACCAATTTTCTGTGACGGTATCTTTCAGAACTGTTATCTTTACTAAAACATCTCAGTTTGCTTTTGGTTAAAATTGCTGAAAATGAGATGTTTACCTGTTTGTTAATTAAAGATGTTTCAAGTTGACTCAGGATGCTGGCAGAAGCTGATGCCTGAAATGCTTTTTTTCTTTTTATATGCTTCACCATCTTCTGCTATGAACAAGAGCATAATAACATCTTTGCAGTCATACAGAGACTTTCACAGTAATTTCATGGCATATCTTGAACTTTTATTCACTCTGCACATAACATTAGCAGTATTTATGAAAAATAAATCTTAATAAAAAGTCAGTAATATATATTTTCCCCACATTACGTCACTGCACATTTCAGCACAAGCAAAGCTCAGCAAACCCAGTCTCTACTTCTGCTGTAGTCAGACCTCTGTCCTATTGGAGTAAACAGAATCACAAAATCACAGAAGGCTTTTGGTTGGAAGGAAACTTACAGATCATCCAGTTCCAACTCCTTACCTGGGCAGGTACAGGTTCCACTAGACCAGGTTATCCACACCCCATCCAACCCAGCCTTGAACACCTCCAGGGGTGGGACATCCACAGCTTCTCCGGGCAGCCTGTGCCAGTGCCTCACTGCTCTCTGATAAAGAATGTCTTCCATAGATGTAGCTAAATCTTCCCTCTTTCAATCTAAAGCCATTAGCTCTTGTCATATCATTACCTGCCCTTGTAAAAAGTCCCTCCCCTGCTTTCCTGTAGGCCCTGAAGTCTTGAATAATACTTCCCTCTCATAACAGTAGAAGAGAAAAATCTTTGGGCCTAACTGCTCCAGCAGCTTATTTTGCTGGGATATCACATGAAGATTGCCTTTACTATCCATATTCATTGTATTATGCTGTGAAGAATCAATATTTTTGGTCTGTTTCATTACATTATGAGCATACCAATTTCCAGCACATAAAAGGCAGAAACTCACCTGTTCTTTACCCAGATCACTGTCTTCGCTTTCTGAGAATATCATTTCTATCCTCTTCCTCTTGCCTTTTCCAAGGACCTGTATTTTCGTAATTTCATCCTCCTGTAGTATCTTTTGCATCATTTCCACCAGCTCTTGGGGATCATCTGAAGCAAATTGAAAAACAGACCAAAGCACAGAAAGTTATGTAGCAAAACTTCACAATTAGATTAAAATCTATTATCAGACAAATGCTCTGCATCTGCACTCACCACTCATGTATACAACTTTCACTAGATGCTTTTCTGTCTTTCTTTCTGCCACAGGCCAGTTTACCAGCACATGTTCATTTGGTTTCAGAAATCCTTCTAGTTCACTGTCATCACTGGGAAGATTCTGAATCCAGGAAGTCTCTCCAATTTGCAGTGAGTTGTCATTTATAAAATCAAACAGTGTGAATTTTTTCATTTTTAATGGTTTTCTTGTCATACAGACAGCCTGTAGGGTGTCATAGGAAAAATAACTTATTGCATCACGCCATAGGAATGTTACAAGAATACTTTAAAACCCTTCCCCTCAATAAGTTCTTATTTCTGAATTGTGATAAGTCTGTTCTATGAAAATATTTTGGATAAAGAAGTGAAAACTAGCCAAGCAGCATGTTTTATCTTCCCTGAAAGATGGAGATGGTCTGCTCATTACATCAAAATCAGAAAGAAAATTATCTCAAAAAATATTTGCAGTAAACAGCTTTTACTTATAGAACCACTGCTTTCACGTTGCCATCATACCTAACTGATCTCCTCCTCACCACGTCTATTACCACATTTACCTTAATAAAAGTTTTCAGTGTCAGTGACCATCCAGGCTCCTCAGACCAAAAGATACAGCTATGACCAAACCTTCTCTAGAATGAAGGAAAGCACTGGTTCCATGTGCTGTAAAAGGGATGCGTGACTTGCAGGACAGTATTAGTCATCTTGTAGCACTACCATTGACAATTGCAATCCTATAAGAAATAGCCCAGAACAACTCAAGACAACTGACTGGACGAAGTATGACACATTCTGACAGTGGAAAACTTCATGTAATGAAGAAACTATAAGCTGAGGGCTGGAAGTCAGCTCTGCTGACTGAAGTGTAACAGCAACAATGGGAACGCAGACCCAAATTCACAGATAAACCCTCTGCCTATGTAAAACAATACTGTTAAAGCTAAGGGCTAATTTTAACACTTTTTAAAGCACTAATGCTCTAGACTAGGAGAAGGAAATAAGTAATACTTGGTGTTCTGGTTTTCTAATTAAGTTGATACACCTCACATAAAAGTGAATAATGTAATATATACATTATTACAGAATCACAGAAACACAGAATGGGCTGGGTTGGAAGGGAACTCAAGCATCATGAATCTCCAACCCCCTGCCACATGCAGGGCCACCAACCTCCCCATTCAATACTGGACCAGGCTGCCCAGGGCCCCATCCAATCTGGCCTTGAACACCTCCAGGGACGGGGCATCCACAACCTCTCTGGGCAGCCTGTTCCAGCACCTCACCACTCTCATAGTAAAGAGCTTTCCCCTGACATCCAACCTAAATCCCCCCTCCTTCAACTCAAAACCATTTCCCCTTGTCCTGCTCCTTTCAAAGAGTTGTTAAGTTCTATTGAAAATGTAAACAGCTCATACTATACTCAGAGAAGATATCTTCCATTTTAAAACTCTTGAAACAGATAAACTGATTTTGTCAAACCTTGGCCTTCTTTCCAACAAACATATGATTTGGCCTGTCAGTTCATAGAGCTGCAAACTCAAGAATTCCCAGAAGTGACAGTGGGATTTGTGATTTATTTGGCCTCGATCAGTCAGAAGAAAATACAGTGCCTCACACAGATGCTGTCAAAAAGGGAACTCAGAGCTAGGAGAGAATTAAGTGGGGCTGTTATGTCAAAGTGAGAAAATCTGTCTGCAGTGCTGGAAAAAGCAACGTCCATTTATCTGCAGAAGCCCAGCTCACCCCTATTCACGATGTCTGTGCTGTGCCTGCAAAGAGCTGGCTTTTCATGCAGAGTGAACTTGTTAATTTGTGTAAGACAACTGTGCACTTGTCAGCATGTTAACTGATAAAAAGAGGTAAACTGCATAAGAAATTGTCATTAAAAAGAATATTAAAACACGCTTTTCTGCAGAATGTGTTTAGGGTGACAGCAGAAGGATTGTTAACTACTGAACTGCTAAAGAAAGGAGACTGTGTTTGCAAGAACTCACATTAATTTTGTATAAAGAAAAATCTATCCCATGTAAATTCTGGAGAGGAGACAGCCTATGCCCAGCATAAATCACCAGAGGCCCAATTCTGTCACATATCCACACTGGGTGGATCCTCACCACACAGAAAGGAATCATTCAAATGAATAAACACCCAGACAAGGAAGAAGCCAAAGGAAGAAAAGTTTCAGCACTGACTTCAATAGGTAAGATTCAAAAATAAATGGGACGTTGGTTCAAACAGTGTATTAGATTTAAAACAAACCATACATGCAACATCAATATTTTTTCATCTTCAGCATGAAGCTGTTAACTTCCAGAACCACATGGCAGATTCAGCCAACACTTTTACTCCTTTCTGTTGTTTGGCCTCTGGCAGTTGTGAGTTCCTCCATTACTCCCCTAAAAGCCCATATCATGTCAAGAGACTTGCAGCAAAGTCAGAGCTGTCAATGTGCTAAGACTAACAGCTGATTAACCAACTTGTGCTTTTTTGTGTTTTCCTGCCATCCTCTAGCAGAATGTAGCTGTGCCATGTCCCTTACTTTGCACTGAGACAAATACTTTCTGATGTTTGTGGTCTGAGCTAGTGAGGGGTGACCTGCCAGTTCCAGGTAAGCTCTGAACGCACACGTGATTCAAATCCTGAAAGATCAGTGATGATTGCCCAGAGTTCTGAAGCTCAGTAAAATCAATTGTTATGTGGATTTCTGGATGTTCAGAGCCCACAGATGTTGCTTGGGGCAGCTGTGGTATGTGGCATGTATAATCCCTCACCAAACAACCTATCCAAGTTGAAGGAGAAGAAAGAGATATGCATGGGTCTCATACACCTGGATCCATGAAAAGAGCCCCAAGACAAGATGGCAGGACAAACAGGAAGTGCTGACAAATCCAATCTGCTCGTCAAAGCTAGGGAGAATTTTCACCATGAACATTGCAGGGCTCAGAGCTCAGTAATTTGTCTAAAACATCTATAAAGCTTTTTCGAGCTGTCAAGATTCTTGCCTATGGTGGGAGGGTGTACTAGTAAACAGAGAAACTGATTTCACTACGCATCTTAACAGCTGCCAAGTTAAAATATAAGCTACATTGGATTCAGAGAGAAATTAGGAATAGATTTCACAGAGTCATGGGAGCAGAAATGAGACATATCCATTCCCTTAGCGCTTGCAAGGAATCAGAAAGCTCCTTGGCAGCTTTATGAAGAATTGCACTCAGTCCTGCTACTTCTGCTGCTTTGAGGATGCTAAAGCAGGAGGGCAGTTCAAGGGAACAGCAGAGGCTGGCCAGGTGCCTCTCCTTTGCTGCAGCTCCTCCAGGCATCAGCTTAGCTGCCTACATTACATACAAAATGACAGAACTATTATATTGCCAAATAAAAGGAACAGAGTGCAATAGTTAGTGTTAGCATTTTTCTGTTATTGAAGGTTGGCCTCGGCTCCCTCAGTACACATTAATCAAAGTATATATTTTCACAGAATTTATTACGACAACTCAGAGACCCTGGGGATATCTAACTGTCTGCTGGCATCATCTCCAGCCTGTGATTAAAGAGAATGGAAAGGTAGAACAAAATGTCCCTAATGAAGAAAAGGAACAGAAAAATATTTCACTTACTGGAAGAGAAGTCCAGCAGCATTTTCTCAACTGCCCTCTCACTTGTCTGAGGACTGCAGATGCCTCTCTGTAAAACATTATCTTTGCCAAAACAGACCAAAGGTGAAATACACTGTATCACCACAAAAAATAGAAATAAAGTAATGTGGAGCAAGATTGATTTTACTTTCTTAAAAATGAGAGGTTGTCTGGTCACCCTGGCTCTCCCCACCTCTGCAGAAAGAGAGGTGATTCATCTCACCCTAAAATATGCATCTCAGAGAGCAGATGACCTACTGTCTGTGAGAGCCTGTTTCTCTCCACTGACTATCATTCAGTGACCATATGGGGCTAAGCTGTGTCTTTATAGAAGTTGGCATGCTCCAACCCACTCTATATTAATTTGAAGCTGAGGGATAGATTCCAGTTGACCTCATGCTATATGAAGCTAAAAGGATGAAGTCTGCTAAAGTGCATCTGATTGGTTCTCTGTTTTAAATCTTTCCTACACAGTTCTGCAAGTCATTGAGTACGATTTTGGACTGTAAGTGCTTTATTCAGTGGTTTGATTGGAAGACATGTAACTGTTCACAGACATTTCCCAGAGTGCAGCTCCTGACCACAGGGACAGAATTACACAGCTTCTCAAAGCCGCTTGTGTTCAAGTTGCTTAATTCTGCTGTCTTCCCCATTTGAAAACACTGGCTACTTATTTGAGAAGTACTGAAATGTTAACTTAGGATGTGACGCTGTCCAAAGACACATCTTTTTCTAAAATAAAGTGATTTGTAGAGGGAAAAAAATTACAGAAGAAGCCATTTAATTGTAAAGCTCTGCAGAGGAAATGTTAACTGGACTTAATTTTAACAAACGTGTTAACATCTTGCATTCTGCACAGATGCTACAAATTTGCACACAGAATACTGTTACTAAGCAACCCCAAAAGACAGAACAACAACAAAAATCCCCACAGAAGTCATTTAAAGACATATCTCACCCTTTGACTGACATACTCTGTTCCATTCAGATTGAGTTGGCAGATGGCATGCTGAGATCATTATTTCTCTTTCCTTTCAGTAACGCAGTGTAAAGTATGACACATTTACAACATGAGATTGTAGGCCTACTCGATGGGTCTGATTCTACTGTGGCTTAAAATAGAGCTTTGCCACCAATTTCAGCAAAACAAGAAACTGTACTGCAATTGTGTAAGCACAGTCTCCTAATAAAGTGCTAGCATTTTATATGGTTTACCCTCTACATTCAGCCATTGTTAATCCCAGTTTTTCAGGGGGAGGAGAAAAAAGAGGAACAAAAAAACCCCAAAACAATAACAACAAAATCTCCAAAATTCAAAACCACCCAACCATGAAAACAAACAAACAAACTCCCAAACATTTACTGGACTAGCAATTCACTTATCTCACTATTTAGATCACTTCAGCATGACAAACAGCAGCATCAGACTTGGTCGGAGTTATTTTGATGAAAGCATTTTACACTGAAATTGTCAGGACATTAAGCACACTGTTGACATGAAACTTCTGGCCTGCACTAAAGTAGCAGAATTCCTGGTTCTCTGTAACAAATTTATGATGGAAAATATAACCCTATTTAAATACATTATATGACCTTCTGCAGCTTCTAATCTTACTACCCTAAAACCAAAGGAAGATTGACTTATGATTTCAATGGAATTAGACAGTGTTAGAATACTGAAGCATTGTTATTGTTCTAAATATTTTCTGTGTAATATCTTAGTCATTTTATGGGAAAGCATGACTTAAAAGTACAGATATATAGTAGAGTCTTGTTCTATACCATACATTTGTCTTCCACTGACAGGAGAGATAAAACAATGTGGTTCTTACTATAGCAGCTCACCTCCTGGCTGTAGATTATTACCCTGGCACAACTAGCCTTACAATAATCTGTGATCACAGATACTTTCCAAGAAGCGATGCTATTCATAGTTAAGCAACATCACCTAGCCTTATTTACACAGAGCGTCTCACTGACTTCAAAGTCACCATAGCATTTGGAATCCACACAGTTACTGTGTGCAGCATCCTTCGTGCTGACAGTTTTAGCAACCTAAAACCTATTTTATGGAAGTTCTATAAAATAACATCAATACACAAATATGGCAAAGACCTTTGCAGGACTGCGGCTTAAATTACAAGTTTGAAGAAAGTTATTGGAGATGGTCTAATTTCTGCATCAAATTGCATACCTCTGTTGTGCAATACTGAGTGACAGTTAAAGAAAGAATAATGAATTCATCAAGCAGATATATTTAATACCTCTTGGAGTACCTAACTTTTGTTCTAATAACTTACTCAGCTAATAGTGAAAAATAGTGTTCACTTAAGTAGATTTAAAGATAGCAATTTGGCATTATTTTTAGGCTTTAAGGATGAGATTTAGTTCTAGATTATGATTGAGGTGTCACTGGTGTACTAAGCATCTAAGTTATCATTGTAATCACTGAAGGGAGAACTAGGGATCAGTTTGGCTGCCCAAATGTAGGTGACCAGTGCCAGCGCTCTGTGGTGGTGTGCTTGGTCTTCAGCTACTACTTCAGAAGTGCAGGTCTTCCATGGGTCTCTAATCACAACTACCTGTGCAATGCCTCAGCCTGGAGCACCTCCATCACTCAAAAGAGCCAAGCCCCTACTGAATTAACCAAAGCCAAGGGGAGAGAAATTCAGCTTATTTCAAATGCTCAAAAGCCCAATAAAGTTGCCTAAAAATAAATGCATGGAGCTATCTTAGGTTCCAACATTGTTATGCCAGCTTCCAACTACCCTTTCTTAGAAGCACTGTACATAAGGCCAAGCCCCTCTACCATGCGCGTAAGGATGGTTGCTAATTCCAGGCATCTCAAGTGGCACTAAATGTAAAAAATCAGAGAATTACTCTCTAAGCTTCAGTTACTGAAGTTATTCAGTCAGGGAAAGTTTGATCAGATGCAAATCCGTGCTGAGGTGCAAAATCTGGGCACTCGCTGTGTGTAACAGCCATACACTATTTCCTTAACACACTCTGGAGAAAGAAAGGCTGAAATAAAAGGCTGAAAAAGTATCAGAAGTACTTTCCATATGCAACTAATGCAGTGTTCAAACTCACTAGCAAACTGGTGTGAGAGTTTGTAAGAGGAGGCATCTTAGTCTTTTTGGTAGCATAATCTATCATATATTCTGATAAACTGTGCTGCCCCAAAGCATTACTAAGAGAAACACTATCTATTCAACTACAAGAGCGTAGAAGTGAAACAGCGGCTAGAAATTCCATACTTGATCTCTGGTCAGCATGTACTAATCCAGTGGCATTTTAACTATCTCTACTCATATGTCTTCATTGGCTGCCATAGGAGAGTGATAATAGACTAGAAGTCATGCCTAGATGACACTCTTTTACTCCAAAGATCTTTCTCCATTGCTCTGGTTTCACTGTGGATCATTGGGGAGGAATGAACTCGATGCTATCCAGTGAAAAAGAAAAATTAAACAAATCCTTACTGCTATTAAAGGTCATGAGCTAGAACAGGAGACATATATGTTGTCCAATTACTTCAGGGAATATTAATGCAACCAAGAGAAGTTCTGTATGCACTTAGGAGAATTTACAGAAAGGTATTCCCCTGAGAGAACAAAAAAAGCTTAAACCTTATTATACCCATTTTTTCTTCTCCTGTAAAATTAAATGCATTCACAGTTCAACTTACTTTTATAAATTAATAGAATAGCTGACAGACCAGTACTGGTCTGAAGCAATCCTTAAGCAACATAATACTAATACAGAGCAATTCCCTCTGGGATGCAATACCATATTCAAATTGACAACTGCTACATTAGACACTGCCAAAAATGAACAGGGAACAAATTTTAACCAAGGACATAAGGGCATACCAGTGCTTTAATAGGAAAAAAAAAAAAAAAAAGCTGTAGGAGCTTTACAGACATTTCTATCTAGGCTCAAAATCAGCCATCTATCGGCAAAGTCCATCTTTGCCCACAGAATTCCTGCCAGCATTTTCCCAGCAATGCTCTATGCTGCGAGTCGACAGCTGCATGGCTCCTATGCCATGTGATTACATCCAGTCCAATAAACAGAAAGATAAAACAGCAAGTTCTGAAGGTTCATCAGCTCACACAACGAGGACAATTACCTCTGCATATATTAAGGAGGCAGGAACTTGGTTTTCCACCATCACCTGACTGCAAAATTTCCCAGTCATGTCCGGGGACTATTCTGCAGCACTTAAATTAAACCACTTTGTCCTGAGTGGATCGTGTAACCTTTACACTTCAGCTTCTCTTTTCAAATGATTCGAAATAATAATATGTGCTTCAATTTCAAGGATAGTGCTAGAATTAAATAGCAGTAATATGCTGACCGAACATACAAAGCCCTGTATGGAGCAAAAAATTTAATCAGTTCAGCAGAATGAAGACTTCCAATAGCTTTGCTGAATTTAGAACACATCATTTCACATAACAAATTGTTGAAACCTGATGCTTTTATCAAGATAAAGATTGATATTCTTTCAGCTGAAGAATGTATTTTAGAAGGTTTAATCCTCTACCAGAAATCCTCGCAACATACACTCATACATCATACTTAAATTGCTAGAGAGCAAACTGAAGTCAGTGTGTGACCCCTGAGGAACAATTCTGAGGGGAAAAGGTCAATTATGCATTTGAATGAAGTTGTTAATACACACAGTATGATATTTTCCATATTTACTTATGTTGCTTCTGGGTTCCTACTTGATTAGAAAATTACTACATATTTTGTTAGGAAGTATTACATGATTAGAGAATCCTTCTAACCAGTTGTTATTTAAGCAGAATACTTCACTTAATTATAATTAATTAGTAGAAACACAGTTCTTGAAGAGGACAGAAGAGAAAAAGGAAATGATCTTATGCTTTCACTTATTTTCTCAGCTAAAAATTTACTCTTCTGAAATATTATCATATGTCATCTCCTATTCTTATGTCTGCATCACCAGATCTACCATGTGACTTTCTTCTTTCAGCTTGTTGATACAGAGAGCCTTGCAATTGCCAAATGAAATCCACAAGGCCCGAAGCAGTAGGAGCAGTGATGCCTTCTCAGACTGCTGAGTCCCCTTGAATGCCACAACTCACACTGCAGGAGGTCAGCAGATCTTTGTTCATGTGGTTTCCCCACCTGAAATGCTATGATATTTTCAACTGGTTTTTTTTTTTCCCAATTTGTTTTCTCCTTATAGTCTAACCCCTTGTACTCAGGTATGATTCTTAGTTTCTTTTTAAGAGCTGCTGAACCTATGCTCTACTCAGCAGACTGCGTTGCAATTCTGCATATAGGATATGCGGGCATATAGGAGGGAAGAAAGGATCCCTGTCTTCAGCCCTGCTAGGCAAGACTGCTAAGTCAGAACAGGATTCTGTGAGATACAGAGTGGAAAAATATTTTAGGTCAACACTGACTTGTTTCCCGACAGGAAGAGGGCTGTTGTTGCATCACATTCCCTGCTCAATTCTTCCATTAAACTGGAGAACTCGAATGTACAGCTTGCTGCTCTCGTGCTTCCCACAGCTTTTAAAAATAGGTAAGCAGCTGCCTCGAATGACTGCAACCTAAGAAACATTATCCTGTACTATGCTGTCCCTTTTCACTGCAAATAATTGCAAGTCACTTCTTTTCAGTGGAGCCTGTGAAGCAGAACCTTCCCTTCCCCTCCCCTCCCTCTTGCCCACGCACATCTCACTGCTTCCTCCCTCAGCATTGCTGAAGCAAAAGGTTGCTTCCAAGCCTCCTTCTGCAAACTTCAGCTATGGCTGTGACTTTGCGGCTGCTCGGTTGCTCTGTGGGTCCTATTGAAACAAGCATCACAGGATGCTGCCTCCCACCACCTCATATCACTGCGAAAGTACAGCCGAATCGTGCATATCTTGAAATAGCAGAACCCTGTACTTACTGCAGGGTCTATGTTCCAGATTTGTAAGACCTCATCAGATTTGCCTCAGCCTCTCAACAACTCAGATCTCTGTTCTGATCTGCTCTTTCCACAGTCAGCCTTAAAAATTGGTTACCTTCTTTCACTTCTTGTCTGAGTCACCTCCTGTTCACCTCCAGGATTCTCCTTCTGAGGTCAAATCTCAGGTGGGAGCCAACGGCTTCCTTTAACCTTCTCTCCTCATTCCTTTTCTCTTCTCTGCTTGTCATTCTTAAGATTTATGAAATATTCCCTGAAAAACATTCTGAAAAGAAGTTCATATTAAAAAACACTATATCTCAAAGAATTACTACAATTTGTCTTAATTACTATTTGGAATAATCTAGCCACTTATTGCTTGCTTATTTTTAATACCAAAACCCAAACTTCAAACTTCATTCGCTACTACATCAAACTTCACTAGGAAAACAACATTTTAACCATGCACTGCAATCCCACAGTATTTAACACAGTGACATTAGTAATAAGCATAAAGAAAGCCATAGCAGCAGTGTGGCGTGCATGAGAATGTAAGCTCCAAAGCCTGGAGCAGTGGCTCTTTGAACAAACCATGCATCAGCATTTCTTGTACCAGTCAGAATTCTATCCTGAATGTGAAAAAAATTAAGCTGCTGCCATGTAATTTATCATAGCTTCTCGGCAAAATGTTATCTTCAGGACATGAATGTGCTCTAGGGCTTAGACAGGAAAAGCTGCAAACTTTAAGCAGCAGCCTAGCATTACAGATTTGTCAGTGGTCAAGCGTGAGTTCTCTGCAACTTACTGGGCAGTCACCTCTGTGCTGTGCTTCCCAGAATATCGCATCATAAAACAATATAAATCAGGTGCTGAGAAGTTCCTGCAAGGTACTGCAGCAAGGCTGGGGACGTCACAGCGCTTCACCTCGCGCTGCAGCCGGGTGACACGGGGCGGTACGGCCATCTCCAGGTAATCCGCATTAAAGCCGTGCTGCAGCGTACTGCGGTACTGGGGGATTTCGGCGTGCCGTCACGTGACACAACACAGCCCCGCGCCGTTTGTCAGCTCCAAGCGAGTGAAGGGAAGCTTTACATCAAAGGCTGCCGGATTGCAACCGCCAGCGTTAAGAAGCCAGGCGGCAGAGTGTGTTTTGTGGAGAGAAACTGCTGTATGCTATGAAACGATGTAAAATTCCTGAGGAAAAATAGCGTAGACCTAACGGTCAAGATATTACTTCTACCGGCTGCCACAGCAGGCGTCAAGAATTTCCCACTGAAAGCGGTTTTCCCTGACATTAAGGAGTAACAACGCCTTTTGCTCAGCGATAAAGGGCATTTTGCACAATAACGATCACATTTTCCCTTCTGATTTCAGCCACCACAGCCTGCTTCCCTCTTGCCTCTCCTTCCTGCTCTACCTTCTGCAGGCTGGATGTGGCTGCACGCTTTCACGGTGACACCTCAGCATCACTCCGACACCCACACGGAGATCCATTCCTTTATCCTATAAAGTTCCAAAATCACAGAATCACAGAATCGTAGGGGTTGGAAGGGACCTCCAGAGATCATCCAGTCCAACACCCTGCCAAAGCAGGTTCCCTACACCAGGTCGCGCAGGTAGGTGTCCAGACGGGTCTTGAACATCTCCAGAGAAGGAGACTCCACAACCTCTCTGGGCAAGAATCCTTTCTCTGGTGCTTACACCCACGACGGATACACGTTCAGCACGGGAATCGTCTTTGAGTGCAGCAACGCGGTATAAAACGGCGTTCCCTCAGCGCCCCGCGAAGGCGCACACAGCCGCCCGGTCGGTCCCGCTCGCCCTGGGCGTAGAGTGCTGCGGCACAAACCGCGGCTCGGAACCAGGCGCTCACCTCCCCTCCCGCCCTTCTCGCCGTTTCGCCTCCCGCACCCGCCGGCACCTGGCCCGTTCCCTCCCGCTCCCGCCCAGGGGTACCTGGCAGCAGCCATTTTCCGCCTCCTTCTGCAGCGGCTCCGCGCGTGATGTCACCGGCGGCCGCGCACCCCCCGCGGGGCTCTTCCTCCTCCTCCTCTTCCCCTCCTCCTCCCCCGGCTGCCATGCGGGGCACGCCCCACCCGCCGGTGCCCGCGGGCGCCCAGCGCGCCGCGCCCGCTCCTCAGAGCCGCGCGGAGGGAAACCCCACCGCAACCGCTGCCGCTGCTGAGTCACATCCCCGAGCCGCCTGCTCCTCCTCCTCCTCCTCCTCCTCCCTCCTCCACCCCCGCCTCCCGCCGGCTCCAGCAGCGCAGGGCCGGCAGCGATGCCCGCCCCGCTGCCGGGGGGAGAGGCTGCCCGGCTCCCCTCACCGTTGCGCTCGCACGGCGGCAGCCGCACAGCTGAGCCATGATCGCGGCGGCGTTCCTGGTCCTGCTGAGACCCTACAGCATCCAGTGCGCCCTCTTCTTGCTCCTGCTGCTGCTGGGCACCATCGCCACCATTCTATTCTTCTGCTGCTGGCACCGCAGGCTGCAGAAGGGCAGGCACCCCATCAAATCCGTCTTCTCGGGCCGCTCGCGGAGCCGAGGTGAGGAGGCGGGCAGCGGCCCGGCGGCGCAGCGCGGAGGGCCCGGGACTGCGGCAGCCGCGTCGCCGCCCATCCCCGTGTAACGCGGCGGAAGGGCGGGAGGGGGTGAGGGGCCGGCGGCCCCCGGGGCGCCGCGCAACTTCGCGCCTAACTTCTCGGGGTGCATTAAAGATAAATGCCGGAGGGCGGGCGGTGGGGAGGGCGGGGAGCGGCGGCCCGAGCGCAGCCCTGACCTCTGCTTCCTTACAGATGCTGTCATGAGAACGCACCACTTTCGCTCTGAGGTAATTTATTTAGCACGCAATTTCAAGGTCAGAAGTTGTTCTCTTTACCTGAGTACTTGTCCTTATTGTTGTCCTTTTTCTGTAATGAAATCGCATAGCAAGCTTTTCATTTTGCACGAGAGCCACGCCGTCCTGTTTTTGTATTTTATTTCCTTCTTGTGTGTGTGTGCTTAAAACGACACGTTCCTCGCAAAGCAGGAGCTCTGCACCCTCTGTTCGCTGCTAGCGCTTTCCCTTTCCAGAGGAGCCGCGCTCTGTACGCCCAGAGCTGCTCCGTCCGCGGGCGGCCCCAGCCCGGCCCTACCCGCACCGCTACGGCTGCGGTGCAGAGCTCCTGTGCTGCCGCCTGCCCTCGCTCACCTGCTGCGGGCAGGGAAGTGCTGCCTAGCCCCAGCGCTGCTGAACGGTGCCAGGACTCGGGCAGACGGGAAATGCCAACGCCAGCGCTTCCCCAGCGCTCCAGAAGCTGGAGCGGATCTGCTGGGAGAATATGGGGAATGATGCTCATCCAGGCATCACTTGGTCTCTGCGCTGCTCTGGTGTTTCTCCTGCCTGGTTCCCTGCTGCTCATTTAAGCCATGCCATTGCCCGCTATTGCAGAAACCGTTAGAGAGTTTTGCACTAAAATGATCTTTTGCTTCAAATTATTTACGTTATGTGTAGCTGGTTATGACTAAGAAAATGACCAGATTATGACCAGTATTTTAAAAGTGTACATGTGATACGGTTGTTGCAATGTGCTTTCTGATGGAAATTAGTTTTGAACTCCTATGTCAAAAATGGTATTTCACATTATTGCAAAGAGATGACACATGGAGTATAGTTAGCAGAGAGACCTCCTCTCTTTAACCCTGAGAAGTCTGTTTTGTTCTTGTGACTGGATGCTGAGTACTGCACTAAGCAAGCTGACAGAGGTCCATCTCCAGGAGCCAGGGCATTTGTCAAGGCTTCGTTCCTCCAACAGGAAACAGTTGGTTGCTATGCAATGTTACTTTGCCATTAAGCCCAGACAGAAATTGAGGTTGTGCTACTCTGTGTTGAAGTACCTGTGGTTCTGAGTGTTGACTCTTAGAAGGGAAGTTTACAAAGTGACTCATTCATTTTCAGTAAACCACCATGCAATTATTTGTATATTACCTGGTTAAAAGCAGGCACATTTCATAGAAGTTTCCACTTATGGAACCACACTATGATAAAGCATAAAGGACTATTAGATTCTTTCATAGTTTTCTATATTACATTTTGACACAGTAAGGCACCTGCTAATGGTCCTAGCCACCCATCTTAGCAATGGTGGAGCTGTTTTTCCCCTCATTTCTGGTCATGGACTTTTGATTCTTAAGAGAAAACGATGACTCATGTGACATCATTACATTTTTGTTTTTTAGTTTAAGTAAAACCTTCTATTAATGAATCTGATTTAATTGATTAGTAATAAATTACGAATATGCTCCCATGGAAATGTTGGCAACATTATTTGAAACAGAATTTGATGTTTTCAATATCTATATCAACACAAAGCATTATGCACTTCTAGCTCCAACAGGGTACTGACAAAAGCATGATGCATGGAAATGGAAGCTTTGTATAGTTGTGTTTTATTCTCCTCCAAAAATGAACATAGCATCAACTCTGCATTTCACATCACTAGATCCAGCTGCTGGCTTTCTCTATGCTGAGCTGTCTGTTAGGCACATTATAAATGCTGTTCCTTACTGATGATAAAAGATAACGAAGAAGAGTTTGATACCAAATAGCATTCATCTCCTGAGAGCTGGGTTCGATATGACTCGCATCCCACATGAATGTGCAGGTGGTCTAGTGGCACTGCACAGAGAATTATAATTGCTCGATCTACACAGAGCGGTTGGCAATTCCTGCATGATTGGCTGCCAGCCAGCAAAGCCTTATATTTGGAAAAAATAGATGTGTAGCAAATTTATATAGAAGTTCCTTGCCAGAGCCGTAGCTCTTGTGGTGCCTGCACTGTCTTTGTCCCCAGCACAAGCTGTTGTATCACTTCAGTGCTGAACCCCGCATTAAAAATAAAAAAGACGCACAATGGGAGGGTAAATATTAAATTTGAAAATATACTGATCATCCTTATCAGATACCTTGTTATGAGTTTGATATGCTAGTGGAGGGTTTCATCCACAAATGCTTTGTCTATTTTTGTGGGTCTTGATTTTCAATGTCTCTGCAAAACCTCTCATTATTATACTGCAAAAGTCTATGCAGATATTCCTTACTGCAGAATGAACTTGAAACACTTGACCCCCTGCCTCAAAAAGAGGTAAATTTGCATGAATCGTTATGAATATAAAGTAGGTTAAAGCCTGCCTTTGTTAGACGTGCTTCATGGCAGAAAAATTAACCAGCAAGAAGATGAGAGAGTTTACAAGATAGCACAGTGGTGTCCCACTAACATTCATTTTCTATTATCTTAAGTTGTCAGACCTGTTTTTGATATATTTGTTGTTACACTTTAAGTTCATTGCAACTACTCTCAGGATGCCCTCGATTACACAGGCATTAGAGATATTCCCTGAACTAACAAAGGAATCGCACCCAGAATAGTTAATGTTTCTAATCTGAGGTAGACCTAGATATGCCATGGCTGTAAAAGAGAAAACAAGTGAATTTCCAGCAGAAATATTCATTGCCTACGTGACAAATCAGACTTTGATGAGGAGCTATTTTAACTGTTCCCTCCCCTCTTTGAGAATCAGTTGTAGCATTGCATGTTTGTGCTGCCCCAAAAACTACATCAAAATAACAGTGTAACTCAGTGATAGTGCTGCCAAAATAGGGATTGTGATCCAGTATTTTGATGTTTTGGTTTTGTTTTTTTTTTACTTATTCATTGTATATTGAAAGATTTACATCATACCAGTAATTCCGTTACTTCACGCTTCCTTCGCTCTCTGTAGGAATTTGTTTTCTCATCGAGTATATTAATTTTCTCTGAGTACTTGAGGGCTTGACAGGTTCAAGTGTTCATCAGCATTCACTTTACAAAGAGGTTTGAATGTTTTCCATACTTCACAATTTGAGAACACTCTTTAACATGTTTGTGTTGCCACTTGTGATTTCAGTTTCTTCCCTAATTATTTCTCCATGTTGTCTAAGCTTCTGGAATCACAGGATTACATGAGATTTTTACCTTTCAATTAAAGGAGAAGCTACTAGCTCTTTTTCTTGCAGAGCAATCTTGAATGTATGCAGGCTGGAGTCTTCTCACAAGCTTTGGAGGACCGGCCTGCTGCAAATGACTTGCTTATAGAATGAATCCAAGTGATACAATTCTTAAAATCTCGTGATATGAAGGCAGGAGTTCATGAGTAGGCAGGTTCTCATGCTGAATTTTTAAGTAGTATTGTTTTTTTCATGAGATTGGAAAGGGATACTTGCACTAATTGCTAATATGATGGTTCTTATTGGGAAAAAAAAAATCTGTTGGATTTATAAATCTTTTGCCTAAAATTCTCTCTCAGCTTTACAGTTTTCCCTTATCTCATCTTTTAAATTAGAAATACAATTATCTCAGGATTGGAAGGTCTCATTGTCTGTGGGTAGTCAGGAGCAATATTGTATCTTTTTGCATTTATTTTATTTTGACTCATATATTTTAGGCAAGCTTTATGTGAATGGTTCCACTGTGACCTGCAGGCATAATCCTGCTAGGAAGCAAATCCATCAAAGTTTTACAGTCCACTATAAATTCTGACTTCTCTTAAAGCAGGTGCATGCTGCTGGGATTGATGGCATGAGGAAGGCAAACAGGAATTGACCCTGCGTGGAAAGACTCTGTGGAGGCATAGCAGTGTATATAGACCATAGCTGTAGCAAATGACAAATAACATTTTGTCTTTTGAGTTCTGCAGAATTCTCATTTTGTTTGTAGAATAGACTATATACATACAGGTCAGCCAAATCTAGTGGCAATTTTTAAGAACAAATGAATTTCCTAAATCCTCCATTATCATACAACAGATACACTACAGTAGAAAAATCTGCAGTAAATGCATGTGTTGACATTGCCAGTAATGAATGCCCAGAAGAAGTTGTCATGAATTTATTTGTCAGCATAGCTTAGTCGTAACCGTCTCCCTTCCGAGGCTAATTGTGACACAATTGCCTAAAAATACAATTCTTGATATCTTATAAAGCAGTAATGAATAGTCTTTGAAGACTGGCACTATAACTCATCCCAAGTGTTGTGGAGTTATTTATAAACTGCTCTAGATATACATTGCTCCAATGAAAAGAGAAATCAGCAGACCCTCCGAGCTGAATTTACTCTTCCATTTGATTGGAGGAAGTGCATTCAAGGAGCAACAGAAATGTACAGGACTAGCCAGAAAAATACATTCATGCACCTATTCATAGGCTGTCTCTTCATCTTTACAGAGCTTCATCAGCCTGGAAATGTTTTACCTTGGTGTTTGACATGTTTTTCCCCCAGGATATCTAAGCTGTTTTTCCATTAGTGGTTGTAAGAGTTAAGGAACAGGTTCAAGGGAAAATAAATCATAGACAAAAGCAAAAATAGTTTTCTTAGATGTATGAAAGCCCTTATGTGTAGGCATGAGTAGAAATCTGTAAATATAGGTTATACTGTATAAAGACAAGTGCTTCTATCCATTTCTCATAATGTCTAGTGACATGGCCCAAACAGAATATGTCACACTGTGCCGTAACACAGTACAAAATCACAGAATTGCAGGAGTTGGAAGGGACCTCTGTGGATCATCTAGTTCAACCCCCCTGCTAAAGCAAGTTCTACAGTAGGTTGCAGTTGAGGTACTACTGAGATTCTGCATATAATACTTTGTCTGTCCATGACTGTTAGCTTCATTCCCTGCAGCACTGTACTTAGCCCAGCAGGCATCAGCCTATGCTGAGAAACAGCCTGCTTGGCAGTCGTATCACAAAATAGATGGCAATTCCCCAGCTGCTGCAGCAAGATCACTTGGGTTCCTGAGCTAACTCCAGATGAGGTAACCTAGGTGCCTTTGCTTTGTGCT